AGTCTCGGTTTCTCGGCCTGTACATGGCGCAGCCACACGCGCCACCCAGAAGAGGTGAGATGGCACCTGGATGGGAGGAGGCAAAAGAGTGTCGTCATGGGGCAGGGGCCAGCGCCGGGGCTGGCCGATGTGGTGCGCAGCCAGGTTGGGCTGCTCCCTGGCTCAAGGGCTCTGTGACCTTGAGCGAGGGCCTCCGTGACGCAAGCCTCGGTGTCTATGCTTCAAAACAAAATCTGGTGCCTGGTGCCTCGGTGGGATAATCTGGGTGTCGCACGGTCACACTTAACGACAGCGGCTCACGACAATACAGGTCTGAGCCCAGCGGCGCAGGCCTCCATGCATCTCAAACTCTTGGTTTTAAACTCCTGGAATCCTCACTAACCAGGGCTGCTTCTTCACCTCAGCACTGGGCTACCTTAGGCTGGAAAACTCTTGGCTGAGGCGGCTGTCCTGCACACTGCGGGCTGCTGGGTACCAAGAGCACACTGCTCATTGTGACCACCAAACATGTTTCCAGACACAGCCAAGTGTTTCCGGCGGTGGGCCACGTCACCCCCAGTTGAGAACCACCATCATAACTCAATGAAGTCAATGCTACCAACATCCCCGTGTTACAGATGAGAAACTGAGGTACAGGCCTGAGAAGGGACTTGCCCCAGGGTACAGCGGCCAACTGATGGTGGCTCTGGGACACAGGCCAGCTACCACACAGCAGGCAGTTGTGGTAGAGGTTGCCCCTAGCCCGCATCCTCCCCCACCCGGCCCTCGACCCCCAGCACCTACCGCCAGCTGCAAGTCCCGGCTGCGCAGCACAGCCGAGTTCTTCTCCTCGCTGAGCTGTGCCAGGCGCATGGCGATCATGTAGTTTTCATCCTTGAGCCGCAGCAGCTCCAGGCTGCCTGCCTCCCAGTCCTCCCGCAGCCGCTGGCAGCGCTCCTGTGCCTGCTGCTGTTCCCGCAGCCGCTGCTCCAGGCCTGCCCGCTCCTCCTCTAGCACCCGACCCCGAGCCTGCAGCTGCTGCTCCCTCTGCAGCTGGCTCTTGCGAGCCTCCCGCAGCCGTCGCACCTCCGTCATCAGGAACTGGGTCAGGCCCTCCGGCCCCTCCTCATCTGCCAGGGACAGGGGAGAGAAGCGGTCAAGCCAAGCAGATAAAATCCTGGGGGAGAGCAGCCTGCACGGGAAAACCCAGACTTTAAACACACTACATGGCAATTCTGGAATGTAGTTTTCTAATTCCGGAGTAGAGAAACCTTCCTAATCAAGATACAAAATTTAGAACCTGTAAGAAGAAAGATGGACAAATCCATACAAAAGTTTTTTAACTTATGAACAACGTAGGGGAAAAAATGTAACAAAAAAAGTTAAAAGATAAACAGGAGGAAATATAACAAATATAACAGGACTCCGAGCCACAATATATAAAGAGTTCCCACAAGTCAATAAGAGCTATAAGAGAAAAAAATGGACAAATCCATATAAAAATGTTTAAGACTTCTAAACAATCAAAGCTATAACAAAAAAGTTAAAACGTAAGAAGCAGGGATGCCTGGGTGGCTCAGTGGTTGAACATCTGTCTTTGGCTCAGGGTGTGATTCCGGGGTCCGAGATTGAGTCCCACATCAAGTTCCTTATGGGGAGCCTGCTTCTCCCTCTTCCTGTGTCTGCCTCTCTCTGTGTGTCTCTCATGAATAAATAAATGAAATATTAAAAAAAAATTAAACGTAAGGAGCAGAGCAGAAGAAAATATAACAAATATTAACAAAGGATTCACAGCTCCAGTATACAAAGAGCTCCTATGAATCAATAAGAAAAAACAAACCAGGGATCCCTGGGTGGCGCAGCGGTTTGGCGCCTGTCTTTGGCCCGGGGCGCGATCCTGGAGACCCGGGATCAAATCCCACATCGGGCTCCCGGTGCATGGAGCCTGCTTCTCCCTCTGCCTGTGTCTCTGCCTCTCTGTGACTATCATAAGTAAATAAAAAAAAAAAATTAAAAAAAAAAGAAAAACCAAATAAATATGGGCAAAAACTACAAATAGGTAAGTTCCAAAACAAAATTGGTTAATAAACAAAGGAAAATATACCCCAACTCACCATCAATCACTGGTATAACCATAATGATAATAGTAGCCATGAACATTTGGTTTCATTCTTTTTGCCAAGTAAGTATAATAATTTATTTAATTTCATGACAACAGTATAAAGTAGGTATTATTACTACAACCACTTGAAAGACAAAAAAACCCTAAGGCACAGGAAGTCATTTGCCCAAGGTTTACTAACTAGTAAGCTGTGAACTACATCTCTCAATGAAGTACAGACTTAAAATACTATTTTTGATGTATCAGACTGGCAAAAATGTTTTTAAGTGATCCCCAGGATTCATGAGGGTACAGCAAAATGGGCCGTTATACACTGCTGGTGGGATAAGTATTCATTTAACACTTAAAATTTTACTTCCCAGATCAGCTCCTCCATTTGCACAAACATACACATACATACAAAGATGTTCCCAGCATCATCGGTAAATGTCACAAAACTAGAAACAACCAGGCTGTCCATGAACAGGGGATCTCTTAAATGACTTATGGCACAGCATCACTAATAAACATTTGCGGTCATTTCAAATAAGTGTACCAAATGTGCAAGAATCACTAAAATCAGTTCTCAGGGAAAGTGAAAACCGGAGCAACTCATGTAGGATGGCCCCATGCGTGTGTGAGTGTGCGTGTGTGTGCAAATGCAAAGAAAAAAGAGGACTCACCCGACTGTCACCAGCCAAACAGAGCTAAACGAAAAAGTAAAGATCTTTTCTTTTTATTCTAAAGTCGCCCAGAGTATCTGATTTACACAGGAAACTGCAAACCCTGTACGCCTGACACATACATGTCTGAAAATAATTTTAGGAGGAAAGAGCCATGATAAACGTGCAGGCTCTGAACTCAGACTAAATGGATCAGAATATCAACCTGGGCAAACAGCTTCAGGTCTCTCTGTGCCTCGGTTTCCCTATCTGTTCAACAGGGATAATGGAAGCGCCTTCCCGACAGTGATGAGGTAAGGAACCTCTGCACTGGCGTCCGAGGCGCCAGCAGCTACTGCGGACTCACTCACCAAGGATCATGGAGCAGCGCTGGGCAGGTTCCTGGCCTGTGAGCAGCGTGAAGTGCTCCGGGTAGTAGAACTCCAGGGCTTCCAGGAAGGCCTCGTATCCCCTCTTGCCACGGCAGCGCAAGATATCCATCAGGCGCCCTAGGAGTGGCAGGGGATGCCCCAGGGTCAAGGTCAGGGCTTCCCCCAGTGCCTAGCCACTTCCTCCCCCTTTCTCTCCCCGTGCTTCAGGGCCCACATTCCCCAGACTTTTTATTTCCCCAGATTTTTGAACCAGTGACACACACAGGGGCCTGTCTCAACACATCAGTGGGGAGAGCCTGTCTGCCACAGCCAGGAAGGCCAGGACCCTCCTGCCGTGGCACCTGTGCTTTGACCCATCCCCAACCCCCAGCCTGCCCCCTCCCCTCAACACACAGATACAGGGCCAGCAAATACTCCCTGCCTCTCCAGTGGCACACAGGAGCCCCCTCTACCCCAAAAGCAAACTACTCTTATTTCTCCAACGGGTCAATGCCTGAAATTCCACCATTAGAGCTTCATCCCTTTGCTAACTTTAGTTCAAAGACACACCCTGTGGGAGAGGGCACCCTCACAAAGTTGACGGATCTTGAGCCCTTAAGGAAAAACGGCTCTCCGAGGAATGTGTGGCGCACAGAGGGAGAGGGCAGAGAGAACCCAAGACATCAAAGGCACAGGAAAGGTGCCCGGAGGTCCCAGATTAGGCTGCACTGGCGACCACATCCAGCTCCCCACTCTCAAGCGGGCCCAGGAAGTGGGAGGAAGCTCCAAGCCCGATAAAGCCCAGATGCCCGACGGGGCACCGCGCGGCCGGCCGCTGGGTCGCGGCGGGGGTCCCGCAGGAGGCAGGGCGGTGGCGCCTGAACCCGGCCTCCGGCGCCAGGGCTGCGCGCGCCGGTCCCGGGGAGGGGGCGCTCAGCCCGGCCGGGGCCCGACCCCGCGCGCCCCCCGGGCTCACCGGTGCGGTTGACTCGGCACGGGAAGCGGTAGGTGCTCAGCACCTCCTCCTCGTCCTGCTCGTCGATGACCCGGCACTGGCGCAGATACGGCGTCAGCTTGGCCGGGTTGAGCGCGCGGGTCAGCCGGTGCCGGACGCCCTCGATCCGCTCCCACAGCGCGTCCTCCTCCGCCTCGGACCCCGAGCCCGCGCCGGCCTCCTCCTCCGCCTCTGCGGCCTCGGCCCCGCCCGGCATGGCCGCGTCCTCGGGGTCTGCGGGCCAGGGGCGCGCGGGGTCAGCCGGGGGCCCGGGCGGGGCGCGCCGCCGACCCCCCGGGGCGTCGCCGCGGGACCCGCCGCCCGTCGTGGCCGGAGCCCCCGCGCCCCGCGCCCCCGCGCCCCCGCCCCGGGACGCACCCCCGGCTCACCCGGCTCACCCGGGACTCACCCCGCACGCCGCAGCCGCCTCGGACTCCCGGGTCCGCGCTCGGGCGGCGGCTCCGCCGGCGCAGGGGGGCGGTGTCCGCGGCGCCCCGGGCTCCGCCCCCGTGCCCGCGGCCGCCCGGGCTGCCCGGGCCCCCCCACATCGCGCTGCCCGGGCCCAGCGTCCGGCCCCGCCAGCCGCCCGCACGTCCGCCCGCACGCCCTCCTCCCGGCCCTCCGGCCGCGCGCCTCCCCCCGCTTCCTGTTTCCCGCCGGCGCTCCCGGCCCCGGCCCCGCGGGGTCCCGGCGGCCCGCCCACACCTGCCCGGCCTCCGGGAGGGCGGGGCGGGGCGGGGGCGGGCCACGCACGCTGCCCCCGGCCGCGCCGCCGCGCACCTTCCCGCCCGCAGGCCGGCCGCGGGGCCGCGTCCCAACAGCACGCAGCGCGCACCGGCGCCTCGCGGAGCCCCCACGCGCGGGCGCCCCGCCACGCCCACCGCGCACCCGCTCGGCCCCGCGGGCCGCGGGAGCGTGAAGTGTGGGGCGAGGGCTCCCGCGCTTACAGACCCAGGGGCCCCCCAGAGGCTTCCCGGGTCTGAAGCACTTCCCGGGCCCCGCTGGGAGCAGCGCAGGGCACCCGCGGGAGCCCGGCCTGGGAGCACTCCGTCCTGAGCCCAGCCGGCCTCTACCTCCTGCTCTGGGCAGGTGAGCAGATGCTAGCCCTCTTGGGCCTCGGTGTCCCCAAATAGGCCGCCAGCTCTGGCACCTTCCCTCCAGCTTCAGGGCAGCCCCTGGGTGGGCAGCAAAGAACCGAGGTGTCGGGGCTACCTTCTCAGAGATGGGATCTGAACTGTAAGGGCACCACTGTTAACTCCCGTCCTGCACAAAGTCTCATTGAAGAACATGCGGGCCAGAGGCCCCGTACTTCCCGGAGGGCGTTCCTCCGGAGGAGAGGCTGAACCCAGAAATGGTTGGGAGTCGTTCTGTGGTCAAGGTCAAGTAAGATTGAGAAGAGCTGCGTCCATACTCCCCCTCCCCCCAGGGAAACTCATGGTCACTTACCATGATAAAGTCTATACCCCGTCTCTACTGGCACATGTGATACTATCTCTCTCTGCCCATTAGAAATTGCTGCTGGTGCCTGCTGGGAGGGAGGGTCAGGAGGGGCCAAATCCCAGCCCTGCCCCTTCAGTAGAGTCATCGTGCTGGGCGGGACAGGGAAGTGGAGACAATAAACGATTAAATAAGTGACTTTATGTAGTAAAGTGCTTGGCACAAAGTGGGCACTCCATGACAACAATAACAGTCTTGAGCGCTTATTATGTATGGAATGTTATTATATACAATCGTTTTCCAGAACATATAGCTCCTTAAATCAACAAACCCGTGAGGCAGCTTCTCCCGTTAACCCCATTTTGCAGATGAGGAAACAGCTAAAACACTTGGAGCTGCATGGGCGATATTGTGGGTGCTAAGCCTGGAGAGGTGGGGGTCCGCCCTGCCCTGTATGACAACACCTCCCACCACCACCACCACCTGCCACCACTTGTCTTCCCAGTCTCTTGGAGCATTGCTGTTTGGTGCCCTGGACTAACCACCCTGGAGTAAACTGCTCGCAGTGGTGAGAATACGGATTCCTCAACTCTGCCCAGGAGCATCAAAAGCTAAAACTCAGGAAGAGGCAAGACAGGGAAGGGCGGTCCAGCAGAAGGAACAGCCAGTGCAAAGGCCTGGAGGTAGGAAATCTCACTTTACGTTCCCAAGGGGCCCTTCATTCCTCTCTCCTGCTCAAACTTGCTCCAATTCCAAGCTATCAGTCCCGCTCACCAAAGTCCCCATGACTCAGAACCCCCAGGGGTAGGGATGAGGTGAGTGGGCGGTCCTGCCCAGAAGGCTGGTGAATAATCATCCCACTGGCTTTACAGAGAGAGTTCTGACCCTGTGCTAGATTGTGAACTCATTACATGTCACGCAAGCCCAGAGGGGAGGCCTGGCACTCTCCTAGGACAGGTGAGGAAGCCGAAGCTCAGGTAAGCCTAGGGGCAGACCTCCCAGTCCCAACCAGGAAACTGTTGACTTCAACACGCTCTTGGGAGAATGAGCAGCCTTGCTCGGTGTGGACAAGGAAACTAGGTTGAAATGGTTCTTCAACCAGTCTGCCTTTCATTTGTGATTGGACTTTGGGGAATGGGAATCTCCTTTCTTGACTTAATTTCCCCACCCATGGAGTGGGTTGGGACTGAACAAAATGAAACTGCAGTATGGCACAGGCTCTGGAACCAGACTGCCTGCATTCAGAACCCTTTCCTGGTGCCTCAGTCTCCTTATCTGTAAAATGGGGAGGACAATAATCGCTATGAGATAGGGCTATTCTGAGGATGAAATGAGTACACACACACAGCGCCCTGCACGTAACAGGTGTTCAGTAGAGTCCTGGCTGTTGCAAACCACAAGGGCTGTCTGCTGGGAGGGGCCACGACTAGCAGATTCTGCGCCCAACCCGGCCACCCCACCTCCATGCTTGTCCTGACTTCTGTGCCAGCACACTTGGACCCCGAAGAAACCTTTGCACACGTCTATCTGGAATGTTCCTCCTCTGTCTGGAATGTTCCTCCCTCCCTTTTTCTCGTAACTGGCTCCTCCATACCCTTCAATTCTCAGCTCACATGTTCCCTCCCCAGAGAGGTTTCCCTGTCTGCCCTGTGGAAAGGAGATCCTCCCATTATTTCTGTCTCCACCTCCTACTTTTGCCCTTTGGGGCTCCCATGGAAATCTGTCAATTCTTCAGTGTACCTGTCCACTTCCATCCCTAATAGAATATAACCCCCTAGGGACAAATGTGGCATCCACCTCCACTTCCCTGCATCCGTAGAGCCTAGCTCAGTGCCTGGCACACTGCTGGTACTGCAGCAATATGGGTAGAATAAATGAATGAGCCAATGAACATTAGGATCCAGTGTATCCCCCACACTGAGTAAGCTCCCAGAGCTCAGAAATGATAGCACCCAGGGCCTAGGGCAATAATAACACTCACCAGCATCGTGGAGTTCTTCTTGTATGCCGGGGACATTTGGAGGGCTTTCCATAGATTAATCCTCACAATGGACCTAGGAAGTAGCCACTATTACCACCCCGTGTTATGGATGAGGAAACTGAGGCGAGCTAAGTAACTTGCCCAAGGGCACGTGGCTGGGAAGTGGAAGATCTGGGAATTTAACATAGACACAGTCTACTTTTGGAGTCAACTTGCTTTTTTTTGTTGTTTAATAGACTTTTTTTTTAAAGATTTTATTTATTTAGGGGATCCCTGGGTGGCTCAGTGGTTTAGCGCCTGCCTTTGGCCCAGGGCACGATCCTGGAGTCCCGGGATCGAGTCCCACGTCGGGTTCCCAGCATGGAGCCTGCTTCTCCCTCCTCCTGTGTCTCTGCCTTTCTCTCTTTCTATCTCTCTCTCTCTCTCTATCATAAATAAATAAATAAATAAATAAATAAATAAATAAATAAATCTTTAAAAAAAGATTTTATTTATTTATTCATGAAAGACACACACAGAGAGAGAGAAGCAGAGACACAGGCAGAGGGAGAAGCAGGCTCCATGCAGGGAGCCTGACATGGGACTCGATCCCGGGTCCCCAGGATCAGGCTCTGGGCTGAAGGTGGCGCTAAACTTGTGAGCCACCAGGGCTGCCCATTAGACTTTATTTTTTATTTTTTTATTTTTTTATTTTTTTATTTATTTTATTTTATTTTAAGACTTTATTTTTTAGAGTTGTTTTAGGTTACAGTAAAACTGACGGGAAGGGGATCCCTGGGTGGCTCAGCGGTTTGGCACCTGCCTTCAGTCCAGGGTTGATCCTGGAGTCCCGGGATTGAGTCCCACGTCAGGCTGCCTGCATGGGGCCTGCTTCTCCCTCTGGCTGTGTCTCTGCCTCTCTCTCCCTTTGTATCTCTCATGAATAAATAAATAAAATCTTAAAAAAAAAAAAGCTGACGGGAAGATCCAGAGATTTCCCTTATATCCCCTGCCTCCCCGCTATTATCACCATCAGCTTGCTTAATCGACACTGCCCAACACTGCAAGCAGGAAGGCTTCCTTGAGGAGGCCAGGCAGAGGCTGAGCCTGGGAGAGTACTGCTGAGCCTGCAGTAGGGAACTGAGTGTACCTGGGTGCAGCTGGCATGAGTGGAACAGAGAGGGCCCGGAGGGAGCCCTGGGGAATAAAGTTACTATGTGTTCTGGTTGCCTGTTGGTGCCTATCAACCCACCCCAAATATAGTAGCAGGAAACAACCACAACCAGTTTATTTCACTTGGTGACTCTGCAGTGGGGTGGCTAGTCTCTGTTCACATGGCACCAGCCGGGACATGTGAGAGGGTGGTGCAGGCTGGACAGCCTGGGCCCCTCGGGCACCTCTATCTTTCTGTGGGCTCACTGTGTGGTCTGTCCCCAGAGCATGGTGGTATCGGGACGACCAGCCTCCTATGTGGCAGTTTCAAGGACACATGTCAAAGAGAGTGAGGAGAAGTCGTCCCACTTTATGATCTAGCCCTGGAAGTCAGCCAGTGTCACTTTTGTCACACTCCATTGGTCAAAGCAGTCATCAGATCGCCCAGGTTTGGGAGGGTAGGAGGTGTTCACAGGCCATAGACGGCCACTCTGGATGGATGGAGGAGTGGCAACGTTCAGCTGAACATTTTTGGAAAATGCATTTTGTCACAGCAGATGACTGGGGCCGGATCGAGGCGTCAGCCAGGGAGCCCGGGAACAACAGCTTCAGTCTCCAGGTCCTGGGTGGAGGGGACCTTATGCCCCAACCGTTATTTAAAGCTTTTCTTTTTTTCTTTTTTTAAGATTTTATTTATTCATGAGAGACACAGAGAGAGAGAGAGGCAGACACAGAAGCAGAGACAGAAGCAGGCTCCATGCAAGGAGCCCGACGTGGGACTCGATCCCCGGTCTCCAGGATCACGCCCTGGGCCAAAGGCAGGAGCTAAACCACTGAGCCACCCAGGGATCCCCCTATTTAAAGCTTTTCAAACACTTTTACTCAGGTATAAAACACAGTGTGGTGCACAGATCTTAAGCAAGAGTTCAGTCAATTTCTACTTATGTGCACCCCCGGGCAACCACCACCCCAACCAAGGTACTGAGTGCTCCCAGTGCCCAGTCAAGACCCCCCAGAGGCAAATACTCTTCTGTCCTCTATTCCCGGGGATTTAGTTTCACCAATTTGGTTCTTCACATGAATGGAGTCGCACAACGTGTGCTCTTTTGTCTCTGAGGTCTCTCCTTCACCATGTATTAGAATCTTCCACTAGGGCACGTTGGGTTGGTCAACTGTCCACTCTCATTCCTGAGTAGTGCTCTGTTATATGAATATGCTGTGGAGTGGGCATCTGTGTGGCTCCTGTTGGGAAGCTGTCACAACACCTGCTCTGAACATCCAGAGCCACTTCTAGAAGATCAGCGTATCCAGGCATTTCTGCTGGATTCATACTCAAGAACCGGGCTTGCTCTGTCACAGGATAAGGCTATGTTCGGCCTTGATGAGCCACCAAGTAGTCTTGCCCCACGCCAGCACCATTTTACACGCTCACCAGTGGTGTGTCAGTTCCACATCCTCACCCACACAGGCTGAGTTAAGTTTAATTTTAGCCAGCCTCTTGGAGGTGAAGTGGAAACCACTTTTCAAGTGAAGTCTCACTCCGAGCCACCGTTTCTAAGACAAGTGAAAGGAGACATGATGTGAAAGCGAACACTAGGGAACGTGGTATCGCTGCTTGACTTGGTTTTGCTCTGTGTTATGTGTTGATACCTTTATCAGGGTGGTTCCGTATGGTTAGATTAATAATAATAAGCATGAGGCATATCTGAGCCCTTCTTCAAAAACCTCTTGGTAATGACATGCAGCCACCTAAACAGTGATCTCAGAAATGAGGAAGCCGTGGGGACGGCAGCAAGCATGAAATCCACTTCACTCTAGAATTAAAACTAAACAAGGGAAGAAGTTAGGGTAGGGGAAAAAAAACTCAAGATGTAAATGTTATAAACTCCAACAAAGCAGAAACAATATAAGCAATAATAACAGAGAAGTGGGAAGGAGGGGAGATGGGAGAAAGCGGAGGAGCTAATCCATTTTCTACTTCAAAGAGTCCGTTCATCCTGATTCAATGGAAATATACAGGGTTTTTTTTTTTTTTTTGAAATTCCTCCAAATATTCCAAGTGAAAGATAAAATCGTGCAACTAGATACAAATGACCAACCCAACTAGGTGCTACTTACAAGAGACATGATTTAAATATATAAATACAGAAAGGCTGGGATGCCTGGGTGGCTCAGCAGTTGAGTGTCTGCCTTTGGCTCAGGGCATGATCCCAAGGTCATGGGATCGAGTCCCGCATTGGGCTCCCCATAGGGAGCCTGCTTCTCCCTCTGCCTGTGTCTCTGCTTCTCTCTGTGTGTCTCTCATGAATAAATAATAAAATATTTTTTAAAATACAGAAAGGTTGAAAACAAGAAGATAGAAAGACATCCCCCATGGGGCACCTGGGTGGCACAGTCAGGTGCACACCAGCCTGACTCTTCGTTTTGGCTCGGGTCATGATCTCAAATTTGCCAAATCGAGCCCCGCATCAGGCTTCACATTCAGCACAGAGTCTGCTTGAGTTTCTCTCTCTCCCGTCTCTCTCTCTCTCTCTCTCTCAAATAAATAAAGCCTTTTTAAAAAAGACATACCAGGCAGCCCGGACTGGTGGCTCAGTGGTTTAGCACCTGCCTTCAGCCCAGGGCCTGATCCTGGAGACCCAGGATCGAGTCCCACATTGGGCTCCCTGCATGGAGCCTGCTTCTCCCTCTGCCTGTGTCTCTGCCTCTCTCTCTCTCTCTATGTCTCTCATGAATAAATAAATAAAATCTTTAAAAAAAAAAAAGACATACCATACAAACGATAATCAACAAAGTCCACTACAGCTATCCTAGAGTAGACTTGAAGATAAGAAGCATTGCTAGAAACCAAAGGGGCATTTCAGTCAGGAAGATGTCAATCACCCCAAATTTGTATGCACCCAGTGGCAGAGCTTCAAAATACAAGCAAAACTTAATGGAACTGGGACTCCCAGCTGGCTCAGTTGGTAAAACATGCAACTCTTGATCTCGGGGTTGGGAGTTGCGAGCCCCACACTGGGTGTAGCAATTACTAAAAATAAATTTAAAAATTTAAGAAGTAAAATTATTTAAAAAAAAAAAGATGCTCATCATAGGTCACTAGGGAATTGCACATTAAAACAACCATGAGATTACACCCCTATCAGAATGGCCAAAATCCAAAACACTGACAACACCAAACGCTGATGAGGATGTGGAGCAACCTGAATGCTCGTTCGTGGCTGGTGGGGATGGAAGATAACACAGCCGACTTGGAAGACAGTTTGGCAGTTTCTAACAAAATCATACATACTTTTACCATACGATCCAGCAATCACACTCCTTAGTCTTTATCCAGAGGAGTCGAAAAACCGAAAGTCACATGAAAACCCTACACATGGATGTTTGTGACAGCTTTATTCACAATTGCCAAAACCTGGAAGCAACCAAAATGTCCTTCATCAGGTGAACAGATAAACTATGGCATATCTGGACAATGGAATATTATGCAGCACTGAAAGAAATGGGCTAGTAAGCCATGAAAAACATGGAAGAACCTCAAATGTGTATTAGTAAGTGAAAGAAGCCAAGGTGGAAAGACTACATATATTGTATGATTCTAACTCTGTGACATTCTGGAAAAAAGCAAAACTCTGGGGATGACAAGAAGATCAGTGGTTTCCAGAGGTTGGGCAGGCATTGGAGGGATGAACAGAGGGAGCAAACAGGATTTTTAGGATGGTGAGACTATTCTGTATGGTACTATAATGGTAAATACATGTCATTTCAAATTCATCCAAGTCTGTGAAACATACAACACCAAGAGTAAGCCCTAATGTAAACTATGGACTTTAGATAATAATGTGTCAATGTAGTTTTGTTGATTGATCAAACAGGCTGTTGATAGTGTGTGGGGGCAGGACCAGGTATTCAAGGGATATATGGAAACCCTCTGAACTTGCTACTGTTTTGTTGTGAAACTAAAACTGCTCTAAAAAAATAAAATCTATGCTCCACATATAGGACCATCAAAAACATCAACTTCCTAGGAATATAGGTTTCCCCCACTATGCAAAAGGGGAGTATTTCTATGAAAACTTTTGAGCTGAAATCCTGTAAAGTGAAGAACAATTACCATTCGTTTCTATGAAAACATTTTTTAGTGTCCCCAGACCCCAAAAAATAACCTCTCTTAGGCTTTTCTGATACCTGAGGACGCATCTTGCTAACAGATGCACAAAATAAATCTAGATGTACCAAGTTCAAAGCTCTGGCAGCTAGATGCCGAGGGTCATCCCAGGTATGAGCTTGGTAGGGCGACTCTCACCGCCCAGAGTGTGCACTGCTTCTAATGGCTCCTTGCAAAACCAATACTGAATGGTGTTTTTTGCTTGGCCTTTCTTTGTAAAACCAAAAATCTTCAGATTTCTTTGGGCTAGTGAAAACATGTACTAATGAAGGTCTTTTGTAAAAATGAAGGGGTGAAATACAAACTTTGGAAAATTGGGGGATACCCAAAAATCATAAAAAGGTGCACAAGACCCCTATACTGAAAATGCAAAATATGATTGGGCATCAGGGAAGTACAAATAGAAACCACAATAAGATTCCATATCACACCCACTGTGATAACTTGATCAAAATGACAAACGGTAACAAGTGTTGGCTAGGATGTGGAGAAATTAGAACTCTCTCATATTGCTGATAAGAATGCAAAAAAGGTACATCCACTTCAGAAAAGAGTTTAGCAAGTATTCAAAAAGTTAAATATGGAGTTCCCAGATGACCCAAAAATTTTCACTCCTAGGTACAAAGTACCCAAGAGAATTGAAAATATCTCCCCACACAAAGACCTATACATGGTGTTCATCGCAGCATTATTCATAATAGCCCAACATGGAAACAACCTAAATGTCAATCAAATGATGCATGAAGAACCAAAATGTGTGTCTCCCTGTGATTAAATATTAGCTATCCACAAAAAAGGAATGAAGTCCTGATGCCTGCTACACACAAATGAACCTTGGAGACATCATGTGCAGTGAAAGAAGCCAGACACAAAAAGAAGCCATACATTGTTTGGTTCCATTTATTTCTTTTAAGAGTTTATTTATTTATTTAGAGAGTTGGGGGGGGAGGAGTAGAAGGAGAGGGGGAAAAAAATCTCAAGCAGACTCCTCTCTCAGCACAGAGCCCAAAACAGGGCTCGATCTTATGACCCTGAGGTCACGACCTGAGCTGAAACCAAGAGATGGACACTTAACTGACTGTGCCACCCCAAGTACCCCTGTTCAATTCCATTGATATGAAATGTCCAGAAGAGGCAAATCCATAGAGAAAGACAGAAGGTAACTAGTGGTTTTCAAATGTTTAGGGTGGGGACAATAAGAAAAGACTACTACCGGGTATGGTGTTTCTTTGGAGTGATGGTAATAATCGGGAATTAGATAGTGGTAGTGATTTTACAACTCTATAAATATACTAAAAAGCCACTAAATAGGGATCCCTGGGTGGCGCAGCAGTTTAGCGCCTGCCTTTGGCCCAGGGCGCGATCCTGGAGACCCGGGATCGAATCCCACATCGGGCTCCCGGTGCGTGGAGCCTGCTTCTCCCTCTGCCTATGTCTCTGCCCCTCTCTCTCTCTCTGTGACTATCATAAATAAATCAAAAATTTAAAAAAAAAGCCACTAAATAGAACGCTTTAAACTGGCAAATTTTATGGAATGTGAATTATATCTCAACTTTTTAGATAACATTTTTGTGTCAAGATACAATAAGATCTAAACAATCTGAAACGAAATAAGACCTAAGTAAATCAAAGGACATATGTTTATGGACTAGAAGACTCACTGTAAAAACATCGATTCTTCTCCGATTACAGATTCAGTGGAATCCTAATCAAAATCCCAGAAGTTTTTTTCCCTGAAATTAACAAGCTGATTCCCAAACTTACATGGAGATGCAAAGGAAAAGCCATTTATATAAAATGCAAAAATAAGGAACAAAACTAGAGAACATAATGTACCAGATATCAAGAACTATTGTTAGTATTGAAATTTAGACAGTGTGGTGTTGATACAAGAACAGACAAACAGACTAATGGAACAGAATAGAGTCCAAAAACAACACACACCTGATCTATGACAATACAGTGCGGTGCAGAAGGATGATCCTTTCAGTAAATAGCGCTGGGTCCACTGTGCAGAATTGGGGAAGACATGTATGTATGTGTGTGTGTCTATGAAATCTTCCTCTGACCTCCTCTTATAAGGATATATGTGGTTGTATTTAGGACCCAAATAGATAATCCAGGATAATCTCCCTATCTCAAAATCCTTAACATAATCACATCTGCAAACGCACTGCAAAGGTTAGGATGAACCCATCTTTGGAAGCCCATTTTTCAGCCTACCACAACCCCTACCTCACACCATGAACAGAAATAAATTCCATACCTAGATGTGAAAGATTAAAACAATAAAGTCCTAGAAGAAAATACAGGAGAACATCTTCATGACCTTGGCACAGGCAAAGTTTTCTTAAACCAAAAATAAAAGCACTAACCATTAAAATATATATATATATATATATATATATATATATATATATATATGTAAATGGGTGATAATAAAATCAAGAAATATGTTCAATAGAGGTGCCTGGGTGGCTCAGTCAGTTAAGCATCTATCTTCAGCTCAAGTCATGATCCTGGGGTCCTGGCATCCAGCCCTACATTAGGCTCCATGCCCACCAGAGAGTCTGCTTCTCCCTCTCCTTCTGCCTCTCCCTGCCACTCATGTGCTCTCTCTCTCAAATAAATAAATAAATAAAAATACTTTTTAAAAAAAGAAATATGTTGACAGGACACCTGGGTGGCTCAGCAGTTGAGCATCTGCCTTCAGCTCAGGGCTTGATCCTGGTCCAGGGATCAAGTCCTACATTGGGCTTCCTGCAAGGAGCCTGCTTCTCCCTCTGCCTGTGTCTCTGCCTCTCTCTGTTTCTCTCATGAATAAATAGATAAAATCTTAAAAAAGGAAAGAAATATGTTCATCAAAAAGTATACTTTAGAAGAATTAAAAGACAACCCACAAAGTATAAAAGGATATTTAAAGTTTGTACTTTATATACATATATAAAGAGTGCCTACAAATCAATATGAAAAAGGCAGACACTCCAATAGAAATATGGGCAAAAGACTAAAACTGATAAAATAGAATACCTAGATGGCCAGTAAGCACATGAAAGGGGGTTCAACCTCATTAGTAATGAGGGAAATGCAAACTGAAACCACAATGCAATAGCACTCTTTATCTACCAGAATGGCCACAATTTTTCATTGAAAATGCAAGTCAGGGAGGATGTTGAGTAATCAGAACTGGTGGGAACGTAAATTACTACCATCACCTTCCAAATCCTTTGGGCAGCTTTTGCTAAAACAGAACATTGGCAGACCTTTGACCCAGCAAGTCTATCCCTAGGTGTACATCCAGCATGCTCACTGAAAGACACATACCACACTAGAATATTAAGAGCAACACTATTTGTAACAGGCAAAACCTATAAACTCTCCAAATTTCCATCAATAGTAGAACAGATAAAATAGAAGTGACTGGGTGGCTCAGTCAGTTAAATGCCCAACTCTTGATCCTCAGCTCAGGTCTTGATCTCAGGGTTGTGAGTTCAAGCCCCACGTTGGGCTCCATGCTGGTCATGGAGCCTACTTGGAGAGAGAGAAAGAGTGAGAGAGAGAGAGAGAAATATTAGAATAGATCATATAAAGTGTGGTATCTCCACACACTGGAGGACCACACAGCAATGTCAGCAAATGTACAATTATAGGCGACAATATGGAGGGGTCCCACAAACACGATATTGGGCAAGAGAAGCTGCAGACAAAAGAGGATATGATTCTATTTACACAGAGAACAGAAATAGGTCAAAATTTAAGAGGTCAGGACAGCGGTTCCCTTTGTTTCCCAGAGTCAGAAGGGAGCACAAAAAGGGTTCATGAAGGGCTGGTGGTGTTCAATATCTTTTTAAATTATTTTTTATTATTTTTTAAAGTTTTTTTTATTTTTTTTTAATTTTTATTATTATTTATTTATGATAGTCACACACACAGAGAGAGAGAGAGGCAGAGACACAGGCAGAGGGAGAAGCAGGCTCCATGCACCGGGAGCCTGACGTGGGATTCGATCCCCGGTCTCCGGGATCGCGCCCCGGGGCCAAAGGCAGGCGCCAAACCGCTGCGCCACCCAGGGATCCCCTATTTTTTAAAGTTTTATTAATTTATTTGAGAGAGAGGGAATCCCTGGGTGGCTCAGTGGTTTAGCGCCTCCCTTTGGCCCAGGGCATGATCCTGGAGCCCTGGGATCGAATCCCACATTGGGATCCCTGCGTGGAGCCTGCTTCTTCCTCTGCCTGTGCTCTGCCTCTCTCTCTCTCTCCTCTGTGTCTTTCTATTCATAATAAATAAAATATTTTAAAAAATTTATTTGAGAGAGAGAGCATGAGTGGGGGATGGGGGGATGGGGCAGAGGGAGAGGGAGAAGCAGGCTCCCCACTGATCAGGGAGCCCAACACAGGGCTCTATCCCAGGACCCTGGGATCATGACCTGAGTTGAAGGCAGATGCTTAACTGACTGAGCCACCCAGATGCCCTTATTATTTTTTATTTTTTTAAAGTAGGCTTCGGGGCACCTGAGTGGCTCAGTGGTTGGGTGTCTGCCTTCAGCTCAGGTCGTGATCCCAGGGTCCGGGGATCGAGTCCCGCATAGAGCTCCCTGCAGAGACCCTGCTTCTCCCTCTGCCTGTGTCTCTGCCTCTCTGTGTGTCTCTCATGAATAAATAAATAAAATCTTTAAAATAAAATAAAAATAAAAGTAGGCTCCATGCCCAACATGGGGTTTGAATTCAGAAGCTCAAGATCTCATGTTCTACTAACTGAGCCAGCCAGGTGCCCCTCCATGTCTTTTTCTGGGTGCTGGGTACATGTGGCAGACAGTATACAGTATACACTTAGGAATTTTACATATGTAGAGTTATATTTCAACAGAAAAATGTACTTACAAAAGCAAATTATACAAAAAATGTAATGAAGTGACAAAAGTAAATACAGAATGTATATTGCATGCCACCGTTTGCTTAAAAAAATGGGAGGGGTGAATATACATGCACAGGGTGTCTACGTGCATGTGCATATACTCACTCGGATGTATGCATACGTCTTCCTTGCAGAATATAGAAGCTGCCATCAGCTTACTGCCTTTCCGACGGGGGCCTGGAGGCCTGCATGAAGTTTTATCCAGTAAGTATATCTTCAAAACTACTAAATAGTTCACACATATGACAAGTGTTTGCAGAAAGACAACAAACAGCTAAAAAACATCTTTAAAAGATCAGTATTGGGCAGCCCCGGTGGCGCAGCGGTTTACCGCCGCCTGCAGCCCAGGGCGTGACCCTGGAGACTCTGGATCGAGTCCCATGTCGGGCTCCCTGCATGGAGCCTGTTTCTCGCTCTGCCTCTCTCTCTCTCTCTCTCTCTCTCTCTCTCTCTCTCTGCATCTCTATGAATAAATACATAAAATCTTGTTTAAAAATTAAAAAAAAAATAAAAGATCAGTATTTGGTAAGTACTGGGAAGCAGCAAGGTCCACAGGATACCGCGCTTGGGTTTCTGTCGGGATCAGAGAACTGCAGGGGGCCACAGGGTTGGGGGTGGGGGGTGGGGGGGTGAGGGGGCTCCCATGCACCCCGTCCCCTTTACGGACGAGGAAAGTAGATGGGAGATCCGTGCGGACAGCAGCCCGAGCCTGCGGCCTGCCCGCCCCGCCGCCGGGGACCGGACTGGGGCTTGGGCTGCGGATGGTGGGTGGGGCTTTGGAGAGGGCGGGGGTGGAAGGTTGTGCGACCGCCGAGCCGCGAGCTGCTACTCTGAAAAGTGGGGACAGTAACCAACCCCTTCTAACTGACGTTTGCAGAACCGATGTCGTGGCTGGTGGCTGTCCGGCGGGCAGCAGGGGCTCCGCGAGGGGCCACCACAGTCAGCTGGGAGGGGACCGGCGGGAGGCTCCGTGCGCGCTGCCCCAGAAGGGACACACGGTGGCGCCCTCCCCCCGCAGGTCCCGCCTGGTCCCAGCCTCGGAGGGCGGAGGGCGTCGGCTCCCGGAGGGAGGGAGAGGTGGGGGCAGCTGCCTGGGCACCCAGAACACACACTTCTGGGCCCTGGGGACGGGAGAGTGGAAGACGCAGGGCTGGGGGCGTCCCTGCCCAAGAAAGCAGGACTGGAGGGACTGGCAGCCCAGGAAGGAGGGAAATGGGGAAACAGGTTCCATCTGGATTTTGTTTAGGATCAGGTTGTGTGTTGAGTGGTGCCCCCCCCCCCCAAGACAGGTCCGCCTGGACCTGTGAATGGGACCTTATTTAGAAAAAGAGTCTTTGCGGATGTAATTAAGATACGGATCTAGAGACGATATCATCTTGGATGATCCAGAGGGGGCCGAAACCAATGACAGGTGTCCTTATGAGGGAAGACGCTGACCCGGAGAAGGTCACGGGGAAGCAGCAGAGGTTGAAGTGATGCAGCCGCAAGCCAAGGAAGCCACCAAGGAAGACAAAGTGGAAGAAGCAGGAACAGATTCTCCCCTAGAACCTTCTGAGGGAGCCCTGCCGGCCAGCACCTCGATTTTAGATTCCTGGCCTCCAGAACCATCAGAGAATAAATTTCTGTTCTAAACCACCTAGTTTGTGTTCATTCGTTATAACGGCCCCAGGAGACTCAGACAGGTGTTTAAATTCTCTTCCTGCCACTCAACCCGCTGACCCCTGCCCCCGAGCCTGTAGGATGGCACCTGAGACCCCCCAACTCCTGACCCCACTGTTTGCTCCCCAAATCCAAACTCCACCATACCCACTGCTTTCCAAACATGGGCTCTTTCACACCTCTACGCTTTTACTTTTGGTGGCCTGCCCCCACCATGAGTCCCCTTGTACAACTCCTGTACACCCTACAAAGCCCTCCCTAAATATCCTCTCATAAGTATATGCACATATTCTGGCTCCCAGCACAGCTGGACTCCTCCGTTCCCCTCACCCACTGTGTCTACTCACTCACGAATTATCACTGTCAGGTCAGCTGTGTGTCCCCTAACTAGTCTTCATCTCCTGGCCTCTCCAACTCCCTAGCCTGCACCCTCTGTCCTAGCTCAGGCCTCCCCATCTCTTCCCAGGACCCTTGTGCCACCTCCTCAGGTCCCCCTGCCCCAGGTGGGTCCTCCAGTTTATCAATACTCTTGGTGCTCAGATCTATCTTTTCACTCCTTGGCTCAAAGCCTTCCATAGCCCCTTTGGGGCTGCATGAGAAAAAAAAAAAAAAAAAGCCTTCCATAGCTCCCTGCTGCTCTAAGGATGATGTCCATAGGGAATGAAGTACCTCAAATGTGCCTCCCAACCTCTCACTGCACCCCAGTGATATCTAAGGTACCCATATGCTGCATGCCTCTGGGTCTTGGCATAGGCAGTGTCCTTCCCCTGGAGTGTCCCCTCCCCGTGTGCCAGGCACACTCTGACCCATGTCTCAGGAGCTGTCTCCCACAGGACCCACCCTTCTGCAGTGACACCAGCCATCTTTAGACACACAGGGTGCTGCTCTGAGTGCTTCACACGGGTTCACCCTGTGAGTCCTCATAACAACCCCAGGAGAGAGGCCCCGTTTCTGTGTCCAGGTCACAGGTGGGGAAACAGACCCAGATGAAAGAGGAACCCTTGAGAAGTGACAGAAGGATCTGAGCCCAGCCTGCACTGTCATTCCTCCTGTGGGAGCCTCAGAACTGTCGAACAAACCACTGAAGCCTCCCCTTATCCCTACTGCAGCCTCCAACCCCAAATTCATTGCTATCTCCTCTGTGGATTCGGCACTTTGTAAACACCCCCCTCCCTGCGCTGAGCGGGAGCAACCGGATTACACGGTGGTCTCCCCTCTGGGAAGCACCTGAAAATCTTCTCTTTACTTCCCTCTATCCATGGTAACTGGCACAGCGTAAGGGGCTCCGTAAACCAGAATGAATGAGTGAACCATTCTGAATGACCGAATGGTTTCCAGGGATGTCAGGTCCTGAGAATGTCTCACCCTCCTCAAAGACAAGAATAAATTATGCAAATCTCGGGAGCCAGACTTTTTGCCTTCTCTCTCCCACCCTCCCTCCTCTAATCCTCCCCACCACCCCCCCACACACACATACACCAGGTTTCTGGGAGGGCACTGGGCTCTCCAGAAAATGCCTCAGGCTCTCTAGTGGCCCGTTTCCTGATTACAGACGAAACTAGAGCTTAAAGCCGGGTGAATCACTAGCAGCCACCAGCCAGGGCCTGTTGAGGTGTCAGGCAGGAAGGGAGAAACCAGGCTCCCCCATCTGCCTCCCCGACCCCTGCCACCCCCAGCCCCACCATCACCATAGGACCTCCTGGGGACCTCCGTGGTCTTGGCTGCAGTAGGCGGAAAGGGCCTGGCCCTGGACGCAGGCAACTTTGAGCAGTTCCAGAACCATCCCTGCTCCCCACACCCCCCACCTGGCCACACCCAGGTCCCAAAGAATCCACAGCCTGAACAGTGTGCAAACCCTCTCCCATCCCTGGTCTGGCGACTCATTGATGACACCCAGGGAGGTGCAGCACCCCCATTTTAGAGGCAGGGAAGCCAGAACCTGGAGTTCTGACAACGGAGACCCCCCTGTTGGAAGTAAAGTAGCACACAGGAACCTGCATGCAGCTTTCTGCCTCCTAGAGGGTTTTTTTTTTTTTTTAATTTTTTGAAGCATACAGATTTTTTTCTTTTAAATATTTTATTTATTTATTCATGAGAGACACAGAGAGAGAGGCAGGCAAGACATAGGCAGAGGGAGAAGCAGGCTCCATGCAGGGAGCCTGATGTGGGACTCGACCCTGGGACGGTGGGCCTACGCCCTGAGCCGAAGGCAGATGCTCAACCACTGAGCCACCCAGGCGTCCCTAGAGGGGTTTACAAGCAAGATCAGCCATTTCTTAATTCGAAGGTCATAGTCTTAAAGGACAAAGGAGGGAAAAGTATGGATTCCCAGCTCCTACCCCAAGAGTCTAGAAGCATCTTACCAAGTGTTCCGGGGGCTCAAGGCAGAGATGAGGGAACCACAACCCAGTGGTTAAGAGCCCAAGTCCAGGCTCAAATTCTAAGTCGACTCTGGCAAGTCACGGGGTTCTTGCAACCTTGGGCAAGTTTCTTAGCTCCTCAGTTTCCCCATCAATAAGATGAGAGCAGCTCTAAGTACGTACACATCCCAGGATTGTTGTAAGGACCCTGAATTGACGTAGAAAGGGCTGAGAACAGACAGTGCATACTCTATACAGTGGCTGTTTTTTAAAGTGTATTTTAAAAGAAACTTTTCCCAAAGACAAAGCATTTGGAGTGAATCCTTGTCATCAGAGAGGAATGTTCCCCACACCTGTCTGGTAGAAGGCTCAGGCCTGGGGCCTCCTTATAAATCCGGAGACCTGTTCCACCCCAGACCTGCCAGGTCAGAGTCTGGGGGTGGGAAGCTAATGCTTTTCATAAGGGCCCCAGGTGTTCCTTGAATCAGGCAAGTTCGGGAATCCCAAAAGACTTGGGAATTCAAGTCTTCTTTTAAAGATTCTTCTGGTAACACACATTCCACCCACCTGTCAACAGGTCCTGGGGGAAAACCAACTTTCTCTTCTTCCCAATTAGTAACATTACTACTTGTAAACGGGGATAAGCCCTCACTAGTGCCAGGTGCTTTGCTAAATTAATTCCATCCATCAACAGCCCTCTGAGGCAGTTTCTGTCTTTAACCCCACTTTATAGAGGCAGAAACTGAGGCCAGGGAAGTTAGTAACTTGCTCATGGTCACACAGCTGGAACTTGGCAGAGCCAGGTTTCTATTTGCCACCCCACTATGGCCTGTGCCAGCAGCCCCAGCTCCTGCGGGACGTGCCTAGATGCTCCAGGGCAGGTCTCTCAGGAGCCCACAGTCTTCTCCAGGCAGCTTCACAGAGCTACAGGTCAAGGTCCTAGTCCCTGTCCTGAGGACCTTCCCTTCACCGTGGCCACCAAACCACACCAAATCCCGCTGGTTCCTTTACTGGACGCGACTCTGCCTCCTGGCCCAGGACAAAAGAGGATGCCCTAGAGCCAAGGCAAGCCCGGGCATCCCCCACACTATCCTCTCTCCCATCACTCCCTCACCTGCTCCTTTCTCCAGCCCCATCATGTCACTAGCACTTCTCTAGAAGTGCAGTGCCTTTGACCAGGCTGTTTTCCCGGGCCAGGCCCACCCTTTCCTGATTATAGGCTTCCATGTTGGGAGGGCAGCCTCCTCTGAGAAGCCCTTCCTGACTGCTGCTCTGGGTGAGCTGGCTCCACAGTGCCCCCACTACCCTCTAGGGGACGACTGCCTCAGGCATGGATGATGCTGCGACCTAAGGATCTATCTCCAGGCACTCTAAGCTGGGGTGGGGGGCGGGGGACAGAGACCCTGTCACTCATCTCCTCCTGGGCTAGGAAGAGGAAGAGGGACAGGGCCGGTCTCCCTGCCCTGCCTCTTCCACTGGCCGTGACCTCCTGGCCCTCGGTCAATACCTGTTGGGCAACCACAGGACAGATTGGCAGGGACAGGCTGGAGGGGGAGGAGGGCAGAACTGTTTGCTTCCTGAGGGGCGACTTTGGCCAGCCCACCCCGCCCCTCCGCCTGCACCGCCCCCCCCCCCACATGGGCTTGGGCCCACATGGAGGGACTGATTCCTCGAGGTGTGAAGTCTTGCTCCATGGTCTCTCCAGTGGTCCCAGGCCTGCAGGCAGCCTCTGAGCTGGGGCAGGAATGAGGCTGACATAGCTGCTGGCGCAGGGCCCTTGCCCACAGATGGGAGGCTGTGGCTGCCAGAGCCCGGCCAAGCAAGAGCTGAGTCTTGTGGCCCCAGCGGGGCAGCACAGGGTCCGGCCTCCTCCCTCCCGACTTGCACAGCTCTCCCCTATCCAAGCCGAGAGGGCCCTAGGGTGGGGGGTGGGGGGGGAGAGAATGGGGCGGGGCCCCCAAGCGGAGGAGTGGGGGCTGGGCCCTGGAGCCAGGGATGCTTCCTGCGGACATTCTGGACATTTGGACTCCCACATTCCTGGCCATTCCACAGACTCCTCGCTCCTCCTCCCCCAGTGTAGGGGGGGAGGGAGGCCTGGGGCAGAGCTCAGGGGAAGGACCCAGGTCTGGACTGGAGGGGCGGCCCCAGGCCTGTCCCAGGCACCGCCCCAGGGGTCCTTGTGATTCTCATAAACAGGAAGTCCCCCCCACCATGGCAGACGGGCCCCTGTGTGTGCAGACGCTGGACTCTGGAGGCCCAGCGGCCCTTGACCTCTCCGGCTGCTTCCTGTTAGCTGGGCCAGAGGAGAGAGGGAGACAGACATGGCCCGAGATGGGGAGAGGCCTACGGGAGTGTGAGAGCAGAAGAGAAAAGCACAGGAGGCTAGAGGGTTGGGAAGTGGGGCGGCCAGAGCAAGCCTGGCACATAGTAGGCACTGGAGAAATAACGTGGCCTGGCCTGCAATCGGGCAGGGGGGAGAGGGCCACCCTGGGGAGAGCAGGACAGTTAGAGGAGACAGAGGCTGGGCCTCCCCACCCTGTGCTCACTGAAGCCAAGCACATAGTAGGTGCTCAGCAAGTATGTGAGGTTCAGGATAGGTGAGGAGGGAGTGTTCCTGGGGGAGCAGCACTACTGGGGTGGGAGTAGGGAGGTGGGAGAAAGGGGCTCCTCCGGCCTGGCTGCTCCTCGCGGGTGGACAGCCCCCAAGACTCAGCATCCCATTGTCCCTGTCTGGCCCCCACCCCATCCCACGGCTGGCTGGGCCAGGCCACTGTCTCAAGGCCCTTTATTTTTAAGATCCCTGCGGTGTTCCCACCCCAAACCGAAGGAGCAGTGCCAGCCACAGATCTGCCTGTGGCTGGGCTCTGGGCCCAGAGGCACTGGGGGTGGGGCATCCGGCCACCCCGCAGCTGCCGAGACAATTCGGGGGGAGGACAGGGTGGCTAGGCCAGCCAGCCCGCTGGGCAGGGGAAGGAGGCCCCTGGGATGCCTTCACCCTAGGCCCAAGGTGTAAGCCCAGAGGCCCCTGGGGCAGCAACCAAACTGGCATGTTAAATCCAGTGGCACATTCTTCCCACAGCATATCTTTGTCTCCCCCACATTCCACCAAACATGAGCACAGCACCCACAGTGTGTAAAGAAGTAGGCACAGGGGATCCCTGGGTGGCGCAGCAGGTTGGCGCCTGCCTTTGGCCCAGGGCGCGATCCTGGAGACCCAGGATCGAATCCCACGTCGGGCTCCCGGTGCATGGAGCCTGCTTCTCCCTCTGCCTGTGTCTCTGCCTCTCTCTCTCTCTGTATGACTATCGTAAATAAATTTTTAAAAATTTAAAAAAAAAAAAAAGGAGGAGGCACAGGCTCGACCCTGCAGGGGTGACAGGTGGGGCCGGGCAAGGATGCAAGTGGTACAGTTGCAGAGCAGCTCTTCTCAGGCTGTGTGGCCTTGGGCAAGTCATCTGACCTCTTGGAGACTCAGGTTCCTCCAGTGAGATCGGACAAAGAGCTACTGCAGAAGGCTGTGGTCCATCTCCACACGCAGCGGTGCACAGGGCAGTCATGGCTCCTGCCCTCATGGAGCTTGATGTCCTAACGGGGGAGACGCCCCCCGTATGAGCCAGGTCATGACAGTCTCTTAAGACACAGAGCAGAGGGACGCCTGGGTGGCTCAGCGGTTGAGCATCTGCCTTTGGCTCAGGTCATGATCCTGGGGTCCTGGGATCAAGTCCTGCATCAGGCTCCCCGCAGGGAGCCTGCTTCTCCCTCTGCCTGTGTCTCTGCCTCTCTCTCTGTGTCTCTCATGAATAAATAAAATCTTAAAAAAAAAAAAAAAAGACATAGAGCAGAAGCAGGGAAGGGAAGGTACCAGAGAGACCAGGGGTGGAGCAGAAGTTAATTTAGATGGGTGGTCTAGCAGGCTTTGGGGGAGGTGAGTTTGGGCTGAGAAGAAGGCAAATTTTCACTCACCTTGGGGAAGAGTGTTCCAGGAAGGAGAAGTAGTGCAAAGGTCCTGAGGCAGCGGTAGAGGGGAGAGCCTCCCATAATGGGTAGGGAAGGACTTTGTGAACTCTCAGGGGGCTCTGTGCTTGGCCTTCCAAGCGGTATTGTTATTGTCATTATGTCAAGTCTAGGGAGGAGACAGGAATGTTGAGCAGACTCTGGCCATGACTGAGGGCTGTCCCTACACCCTTTCCCCTTCATTTACTCCACCTAGAGATGCCAGGCTGGCCCGCCAGCCGATGTGTGTGGGTCCTTGGACTACAAAGGGCATTCACTCTGGCCCAACTCGTTCTCTCCTTTGATCCTCCCAACTATGAGGTAGAGTGGGCGAGGCCTAGTATTACTGTGTCCATTTGATGGATAGGGAGACTGAGAGCTGGGATGGGCACACAATGGTGGTGGGGGCTCGCTGACATCACCCAGCTTGTGAACGGCAAACCTAAGCCATGTGCCCAAGTGCCCTGGTTCCCAGGCTCGTCCATTCACCCCTCAGTGGTCCCTTGGAACGCCCCCCTGGGCACCCTCCCCCCAACATCATTTCCCTATCTTCCCCAAGCATTTACTCTGGCACCCGCAAACCAGCACACAGACTCCACCAGGAGGTACCAGCCTCCCCCCAGGCTCTAGCCAGAGAAGAATGTGGCCTGACCCTCCCCGTGGGAGCTCTGGCCAGCAGGCCTTGGCAGAAGGGAGGCTGGCTGAGTCAACAAGAGGCTGGCAGAGGCTCAAGCTGCCCACCGGGGTGGAGTCAGAGACCTAGAGGGGGCTGCCCGTACCCCACCCCTCACTCTCTGAGCCACCTGGCCCCCTCCTGGTCTGGGCACCAGCCAGCCCAGCTCACCTCTGCAGGCCTGACTGGGGAGTGGCCTGGGTTGAATCAATGGGTCAATCACCCTGCAGACAGGTGCTGTGAGACTTCAGGCAGGTTGCTCCACCTTTCTGGGTCAGTTTTCTCACCTGTGAGATCCCTTGAGGACATTGTGGGCTCATTATAAATTGATAAAGGTTATTCTGCCCCTAAGATCGTTCAAGGCACTGTGTCTCTCCCCGCTGCAGGCTGGAGGGGGCGTTCCTAAGCCCAAGGCAAGAGCTGTGCCCTGTCACCAGTGTCAAGTAGGTGCTTCATGAGTGCTTGCTATAAGGTGACAACTGAGCTTGTGGAACGACCCAGAAAAGTATAAGAAGCCGAACACCTGCAATCATCATGACCCACGCCCCCAGCCTGTGCTTGCAAAGCCCCTTTTCCAGCCACCTTTTTTGATCACAGGCATTATTACTCCCATTCTACGGGTGAGAAAAAGGAGGTACCGGGAGACTAAGGAACTGGCGCAAGACCACACGGGGGACTAATGGAAGACAGGTCTTCTGACTCCTGAGCAGATATCTGGAGAGGGGGGACTCCTGGGGGCATCTGTGTGCAGCACCAGGACACAGAAGGAGGAACAGTGAGCAGGGGTTATAGGGAGTTGATTTCGGCTCCATTTCAGAGAGAAATCCTCGACTGGCAGAGCCTGTCCTCTTGGGGGTGAGCTCCCTGTCACCAAAAAAGTAGAGGCAACCCCCAGCAGTGAGGCATGCTCCTGAGCGAGTCCGGCCCCAGGGGGATGCGTGCATGGCAAGTGAGACTGACGGACCGGGATCCCCTGGTGGCCTCGGAGCCTTTGCCCTCAAGGCAGCAGGGCACTGGGGACACCACAGGCACGGGTTTGAATCTTGAATCCCATGGGACCACTTTCGAGCTGTGAGAGGTTGAAGAAGTAACGTTACCTCCTTGGTCTCAGTTTCCCATCTATATAATGGTGTTGTGAGGATTAGAGCAAACCCGAGTAGAGCACCAAGCCCAGAGCTCATGCTCAAGTCTGACACTTAGAAGGTGCTTAATTAATGCTCCCCTGGCTGCTGATAATCTTCCTCTTGACATAGTCCAGAGAGGGAGGAAGAAACCAGGGGCTAAGAAGCAATGGCGGGAGGAGGATCATTGGGTAAACCCAAGGCTTGGAGCCAGGGCGCTGGGTGCAACCCTCAGCTCCCCCAGGAGTGGGTAGGTGCCATGGGTACGTGCCTTTCCCTTCTCTGTAAGAGACCATGTACGTGAAAGCCCTTGGACAACCCAAGCTTTGGTTGGATGAAAACAGATGGACCCACGTGTCTAGGAATGAGCCTGTAGGGTGAGAAAGGAACCCCCAACCCCATCTAGATGGGGGCACGTGAAGCCCCAAGGGCTGGGCGAGGTGGGGGGAGGTGGAGATGGTCAGGCCACTGCAGCTCTGGCCTCCGGCCTATGGGCCTATCTCTCAGGCCAGGCTGGACGGCAGAGAATGGGCCATTGTTTCTGCTCCTCAAATACTTTTCCTGTCCCCCTCGCCCCTCCTCTCTTCACCGCCCCCCCCACGTTGAGAACAAAGATCTCCTGGAGGACCCCTCCTCACTGCCCTTCCATCCAGGCTCCTGGACGCCTGGCCTAGCTCTGGAGAACCCAGCTCCATCACCCCTGGGACGACAGGGTCACCTGGCCCTGACCTTTCTGCTGCACCTCCCCACCTCCTGCAGCTCCAGGCGCCTCAGACTCCCTCTCCCGCCTCCCTCCATCCATCTGACTGTCCTCGTCAGGGGTGGGGCTGGAGGAACTGACCCTACATCCTTCCTAGCCCCCGTCCAACTTCTTGTCCTGTTCTCCAAGAGAAAGGGAGCCGGGTGGGGTGGGGGATGGGGGGGCCGTTCCCCGCCCCCATTTCCCTGCTGAGCAGCGAACAAGGAATCAGAGCTGAGCTGGCCTGGAAGGGTCCAGCTGAGAAAACTCTTCCACATGGCCAGCACTTTTCCCAGAGCCTAGAATTCCAGAGGCGTTTCCGGCCCTGACAGCTGCCTGCCTTGGGGAGCCAGGCTCTCCCTCCAGGCCTCGTGGCCACGCCTTCCAAAATACCCTTGGGATTAACTCCCATCCTGACCCTGCTGCTCCAAAAAACCCACTCACACCTAGGCATCACCTCCAGAAACAGCTGGACAGGACAGCCAGGGACTAATCTGCCATCACCTGGGCCTTGGGCCACCCACCAGCCCCCGGCAGGGCCCTGATGTTCCTCAGCACTCAATCATCACCCCAGCCGACTCCCCATGGGGCACACACTCGTGCCAGACACACACACTTAGTGTACTCAGCCTGGCTAGCACGCCTTCTGGTTTGTACAGCTTCACACGTCTGTATAGAGCCCCATCCCACCTCCTCCAGGGAGCCTTCCTGGGAGCCCTGCCAAGTCTGTGCTCTGTCAGCTTTAACTGTCTGTGAGCCTGTCTGTTTCACCATATTGAGCTGGGAGCTGGCACACAGTAGGCACTCAACAGATGCTCACCCACACCGAAGGCAGCCGTGGGAAGTGTGGCTGCTGGGGACACCCAGCTCTGCTGCGGACCAGCGGTCCTACCCTCTCTGGGCCCAGTGTCTCCACAGCCCTCTGAGGCCCTGCCCCTCCACCACCAGTGTCCACCCTTGGGGCTCTGCTGTAAAGAGGAAGGAATGAGAGGGCCAAAGTCTCCTTCCAGAAAGGTCTCTATCCTCTGGCTCCCTCAGAGCACATTCCTGTCCTCAAGATCAGCCAGGGGAGAAAAATTTAGGGCTAGGCTGCTGTCTTCTGGTCTGTTAACAAGGAAACCCCAACCAGGATCCCAAGGCATCCCACTCCCAAGGGCAGCCGTCACTGGGGGCAGAGCAGTGGGCCAGGCTAGCCCAGGCCACAGAGGGCCCGGCATTCAAGGCCTCACTCCCATCCTCCATCGTAGACCCTTCCCAGCTAATCCTCTACCCTCCTGAGCCCTATTCTCTCCCCGGTTCACCTGTGGGCACTCTTTCCCCAAGATACAAGGCCCAGCTCAAATACCACCTCCTCCAGGAAGCCTCCTGGACCTCCTCAGTCAGTCCTCTGGCTCCTTGGACCCTTCTACCACTGTTTTAGCCTTTCATCCCCATCAATATCCTGGCCTGTGTCTTCCCTACCAGCAGAGAAGTCTCTGTAGAGTAGGAACTACACTCCTTACTCACTGCTGCTCCCTCACAAGGTACCCCAGCCTGGGCCCTGACCCACAGCAGGAGCTTACTTAAAATGTATTAAATGAAATCATCTCCAGGGGGGAAAGGAAAATGATAACAATAGGAATAATAGTAGCTATCCTTCCTCGACCAGTAACTACAGGTCAGTCAGTGAACGTTTTGATTCATCGCAGACAAACCAAATTTGTTTGGCAAGGCCCAGGCAAGGAAGTGGCTTGTCCAGGGTCACTCTGCTAGTGAGAGGCAAAGCCGAGATTTGGACTTGGGTTTGTCTAACTTGCAAACACACGCTGGGTTGTACGGATGAGAGCATGGGGGTGGCCCCCTGGGCCCCATTGCCAGTGTCCCCTAGTTGACAATGTAATCTGCCTCACGAACTTCCCCAGGGACCCAATGTTGTCCCCTTCCCCTGCAATGCGTTTGTATGTCTGAGCCCCTGCCAGGAGTCTGGCCCATAGAGACTCTCCCCAGAGTGGTCCAGGAGGAGGGTAGCTGCCCCTTATGGTGGTGGCTGTCCAGCTTGGGAGGCAAGGACCCCCTGCTTACGCTGGCTGTGACCACGCATCCCCCAAATGTGCCAGAAGTACAGACATCACCATCTCATGGGAGACCTCACAGGCAACAGACACCAATATGGAAGATAGACAGGGTGCAAGGGAGAGGCTGGCCCCGAAGGGGGACTTCCAGGAGGAGGTGACATTTCAAGGCAGCCTTCAAGGATGCTTTGCCTAGCCCCGTGTCAGGCTCCCTGCTCAGTGCAGAGTCTGCTTCTCCCTCTCCTTCTGACCCTCCTCCCTGCTTGTGCTCTGTGTGTCTCAAATAAATAAATAAAATCTAAAAAATAAAAATAAAATCTTTCCAAAAAGGGGGGGATGTTTTGCCCAAGGGTGACCCATGATGAAGGTGAGCAAGGTCTATTAATGTGAGAAAAATGAAGACACGCTCAGAGCCCCACGTGGGTCAGCAGAAGCCAGGTGTGAGTCGACGCAAGCGCTTCACAGGATGGACAGGGAAAAGAATGAGTGAATGCACGGATGGACAGGTGTGTGGGTAGACAGGTGTGGGTGTGGATGTGGGCAGTAGATCCAGGGATGCTGGATGGATAGAATGGGTGGCTGGACATATAGGTGTATAAATGGATGGGGATGGAAGGATGTATGGGTGAGTAGGTGGGCAGATGGGCAGAGGGGCAGATGAATGAATGGCCAGGGGTGTAGGCAGTGGGTCAACTGAGGAGTGGGTAAGCAGTTAGCTGATTGAATGGGTGTGGGTAGTAGGTCAAAGGATGGGGAAGTAGGTGGGCAAATGGGTGGGTGCAAGAGGAGTAGATGGATAGAAAGGAGTGTGGGTTGTGGGTAGAAGGATGGAATGGTAATCGTATCCATAGGATGGACCACTGGCCACTCAGGAGAGAGAGTACTGGGAAGCCCAATCAACGGACGAAAAGCCCAGCCAGACTTTGGGATGGAAAGGGTCCATGCTATGCTCCCCAAGGAGAGGCTGGGATGAGGGCTGATAGATGTGGCCAAGCCAACTCACTCAGCTCAAGGATCCCACTCCAAACCTCACTGGAGCCGGGTGGGCAGCCACTGGCATTCTTGAGTTCCCAAGGGGGAGTGCCCCTCTCAAGCTGTGCCTTGCTTCAGCTCCATAGAGGACTCCCTGCCCAGAAACCACCTCCTTCCCATAAGCCCTAAGCCTCAGCCCACCCAGTCTGCTGGGGTGAGTTGAGGGGGCAGCCCAGCTCTGTGATTAGGCCCAAGCCCCCCCTCCCCCCACCCCCATTCCTCCAGGACAGAGGAGGAGCTGGGGGCTCCTGAATGCTATAGGCAGCCAGTGCCCCCCCCTAGCAGCTCCCAGTCCCTAGCTGGGAGGCATTTGTTCTGCATTCTACACGGTGATTACAGCTACCCAGGGTTAACCCCTGTGCTCCTGGACATGGACAGCCCCTTCACCAGGAAAGGAAAGGGACCACGAGAAATTAGTGGAGGAAAAAAAGCACAGGAAATGGAGACTGCCCATTCCTGCGTCCTTCACGAGGGTGCCAAGGCCCCTCTGTCCTCCCATTTTCCAGAGGGGAAAACCTGAGTTTGACACTTAAATCAGAAGTGAAGCAAGGAACAGGAACTCAGCCTGCATGGAGAGGTATTTCTATCTGGAGAGAGGCTCTGAATGAAGGGAGAGAGCCGCCCTCAGGCTCAGTGTACCTATCTGTAAAATGGGGCAAAGAATTTCTGACTCGAACACTGCCTCGCCATGAGCTAGTGGAGACAAAGTGCCTGGCACATAAGGAGAAGATTCTCAGCCACTGGATCCCTGCCCCCAGCCTGGAGCTGGAGAGGATGGAGGCAGTTATATGGCAGGCTGTAACCCTTCCTACTAAGACTGCTTTCTCAGCCATCTCTGAGGCTGGCAACAAGTAGCAAATCTCCGCACCGGTATTATACCCATTTCATAGACAGGAAACTTGAGGATCAGAGAGGCCAAGTGCCTTGCCCCCAGTCACACAATGCCTGGAAAGCCAATGGGTCAAGATTTGGGTTCAGGGCCTTTTGAAAGGGCACTAAATTGCTTCCTTTGCCAGCTGTTCTGAGGATCCTCTGGCTAAAGTGACAAGTAATTTATTGTCGAACCAGGTCATCTTTGAGAGTGAAAGGAAGTGCTATTAATAATTATGCTGGGGGCGCCTGGCTGGCTCAGTTGGTAGAGCACTCAACTCTTGATCTCAGGATTATATGTTTAAGCCTAACAATGGGTATAGAGATTATATAAAAATAAAATCTTAGAGGTACTTGGGTGGCTCAGTCAGTTAAATGTCCAACTCTTGATTTAGGCTCAGGTCATGGGATCGGACCCTGTGTCAGGCTCCATGCTCAGTGTGGAATCTGCTTGAGATTCTTTCTCTCCCTTTGCCTCCCTCCCCGCCCCCCCTCTCAAATAAATCTTTTTTTTTTTTTTTTTTTTTTTTTCTATTCATGAGAGACACAGAGAGAGGCAGAGGGAGAAGCAGGCTCCAAGCAGGGAGCCTGATGCAGGAGTTGATCCCCGGACTCTAGGATCAAGCCCTTGGCCGAAGGCAGATGCTCAACTGCTGAGTCACCTAGGCATCCCCTTTCCTCAGATTTTATTAAAAAAAAATTTTTTTTTAAAGATTTATTTGAGGGATGCCTGGGTGACTCAGTGATTGAGCGTCTGCCTTTGGCTCAGGTTGTGATCCCGGGGTGCCGGGATCAAGTCCTGCATCGAGCTCCCTGCATGGAGCCTGCTTCTCTCTCTGCCTGTGCCTCTGCCTCTCTGTGTCTCTCCTGAATTAATAAAATCTTTAAAATAATAATAAAATTGGGGCACCTGGGTGGTTCAGTTGGGTAAGTGTCTGCCTTCAGCTCAGGTCATCATCCCAGGATACTAGGATTGAGCCCATGTCAGGCTCCCTGCTCAGTGGGGAGTCTGCTTCTCCTTCTGCTGGCTCGTTCTCTAGCTCTCAAATAAATTATAAAATCTTTTATTAATAAATAAATATGTATTTTTTAATTAAAATAATTATGCTGGGACCATCCTGGGCAGAGAGGGATATGGCCCTCCTGCCAGAGCAGGAGACTTTGGGCAAGTCACTGCACTTCTCTGCAAAATGGACATGATGGCAGGATTGTCCCTTTGGGGCTTTCAGGAGAATTAAATGTGACAGTGCCTATAAGAGGCGGTAGGGCCTGATAAGCATTCGATGCTCAATAAATACTGGTTATTACTACTGCTATTAATGATAATAGCCACTAGTCCCTGCTTCTGTCACTGTGTTTCCAGTCCATTCTTGGCTCAGAGTAAGAACTTACAAATACAATCTGACTCACGCTGCCTGCTGGCTCCCCATCCCTGCCTGGGAAAGGCTAGACGCCTGGCCCAAGGTTAGGCCCCTAAGACCTGGCCCAGTTCTCTCTCAGCCCTTGACTGTGCCCCTGCCCCATCCCTGCCTCTCAGGGGCAGTCTCCCTTCTTCCTCACCTGTGCTCTTCAGCACCCCTGAGACTGTCCCCAGTTCTCCCCAGGACAAAGCACCTCCACACCTGACCTCAAAGGAAGGGCTCTATCCAATGGGAGTCTCAGTCCTACTGCTGCCCATTAGAGGAAGTGCCAGACTTTGCTGTGCCTCAGTTTCCCCATCTTTCCATCTGTCCAGCTGGGGAAATAACACCCCTCCTTTGGTGGCCAGCATGAGGACTCAGGGAGTCAGCACAAGAGGCCCAGCACTCTGTAAACACCAAAACTTTGTCTCCTCCACCTGTGTGTAAATATAGCCCCTCATCCCCAGCCAGAACACCACTCAGGTGACTTCCTCCAGCCACACCTTCGTCTTCCTTGTAGCTCCTTCGCTCCAAATCTTGGCCTGTGCTGTGTCCCACCAGGTGTGTGTGTGCACTTGCACTGCACCCCCTCTGCCTATGTGTCCTGTACAACTTATGTCAGGTATCACCTTCTAGGAAAACTTGCTCCCCCCCACACACACACACACTCCCCTGGAGGTTGTTAGGGGTCTCTCTGTGCCAGGACAGCCCTCAGGACTTTCTGCCCATCCCCAGGGAGCTCACAGTCCCAGGAGAGAATCAGAGGAGGACAAGAAAAACATGTGGCAGGGATCAGAGGTCAATCTCCCTTCCTTGAGGATGACACAGGGTCCTGTGCAGGGCTATTCCCTGACCCTCCTGGGTGGGGTTGGGGGGTGCTCAATAAAGCTTTCTGAATCCATGCAGCTGAGGTGTGGTCTCATGGACCTGTTCAGCAGGCCTCCTAGGTGCTGACAGAGCAGAGAACACTTAATAACATAACATCCGATGCCTACTGTTATTATCCCATTTTACAGATGGGAAACCGAGGCCCAGAAAGGCTATGCAGTGGCTAAGGCAGGAGAGGAAACTGGGCCCCTGGGTCCTAGGGCCACCATCCTTGACCACCACACCACACACCACCCTATGAGTCGCCTGCTGTGGTCTGAGCCCCAGTCTGGCTCACGTCTGGGTCCCAGCACCCCTGTGGCCTGCGTTGGCTTGAAGGGATTGAGGGATCGGGACAAAGGCAGTGGGCATCCCACTCGTAGATCTCGGGGTCTATGGGGGTCTTCTCGGCATTCAAGGCCCCCGCAGACCCGAAGGGAGCGGCTGGAGAGCCCGGGAGCGAGAGAGTTCTCAGGTCTGGGCGCCCCAAGGCCCCGCGGGGGGCCGGTGGGGGAGGGAGGGGTCCCCGCGCAGCCCCGTCCGGACCCCGCACGCTTCCCACCACCCCCGCCCCGTGCCCTCAGGCCCCGGCCCCGCGCCCCCGCCGCCACTCGCGGCGGCCCGACCGGTGCCCCGGAGGGGGGCCCGGCCCCGCCCGCGGGCGGGAGGAGCGAGGCGCGGGGAGGGAGCGCGCCCACACCCCGCCCCCGCCCCCGGAGCCAGCCCGCGGAGCCCGCGGCCAGGGCGGCGCAGACCGGCCCAGCCACTCGCCCCGGCTGCGCGCCGGGACGCGCCCGCCACCGCCCCTGCCGCGGCGTCCGCCCCCCGGCCCCGGCCCCGGCCCCGGCCCCCGGGCTCGCCGAGAGAAGGTAACCGCGCCACCGGGGGGGCGTGGACGCCGGCGGGGGGCTGCACCCTCCTAGGCGCCCGGGGGCCGGGCCGGGGGGCGGGGGCGGCCAGCCTGCGACGGCCCCGGGTGCCCGCGCGGAGGACCCGCGCCCCGGCCGCGGGAGCGCCGCGGGGTCCCTCCAAGGTTGGGGACGGGGCTTCGCGCGGCCCCCGGCGGGCGCAGAGCTGCGGCGGCGAGCGGGAGCGCGGACGGCGGGAGGAGGGGGCGAGCGGGGGCCGTCTACGCGCCTTCCTGCCCCCCAGAGGAAGGGACGGCCGGGGAGGGGGCGACGGGCCGGAATGTCGGGCCCCTCGGCGAGGCCGGCGCGGAGAGCGGGAAGTGGGGGGCGGGAGGGCCCGCTGGGGAGATGGACCAGGCACCCTGCCCCCTCCCCACCCGCCGCATTCCTGGCCGAGCGGCGGATGAGGTCATCCCGTCCGGTTCCCCTCGGGCCACGGCAGCCGGCTGTCCCCTGCCCCCGCCGATCGACCCTCCCCAGGCTAACCCCCTGCCTCCCGGAGGGAATGTTTTATGGCCAGAGGCTTTCCGGGACTTCCAGTCCGAACGGGCCTCGGGATTGTCCAGTCCTTGCCTCAACCATGCTGGACCCGCCAAGCCCGAAGCCCATTTTCTAGACGGGAAAACTGAGGCCTAGAGGAACGCCCCCCCTCGTCCCCCCCGCCGGAGGCCGCGCCAAACGCGTTTCGGGGACTGGAACCCAGGAACCGGGGGACACTTGGTCCGTGGCCACCTCCTCCCGGATTGGGGGGCTTCGGCCCTACCTTGGAGTGGTGGACCAAGAGGCGCCTCTCCCGCTCTTTCCTCTTACTCCCCCAGGACCCCCGGCTCTCCCTCTCCCAAACCCTTCAGAGCCGGGCAACAGGGCCCCCCCTGCGACGGCAGACGGCTTGCTGCCCCTCTCTGGCCTCAGTGTGCGCAGTCTCTCCACCTGGGGGTGGGGGTGGGGGCTCCCGGGGATGCGAGAGGCCCCGGGCAGTTAACCTTTTATTCCAGGGCCAGAGCAGCCCTGAGCCAGGCAGGGCCCCGCTGTCCAGCGGTACCGGTGGTGTTACCCAGCTGGACACACCAGTGGGGAGGGGGCTGGGCGCGTGTGCGTGGCCTCCCGATGGCAGGTGGTGCGCGCGTCGGCAGGCAGGCCCGCGGGTGAACCCCAGGTGAGCGCCAGGGTGCCCCAGCCCAGCCTCTCCCAACCCTGGGGTCGTGGGCGGACAGGCTCCTGCCTCCACCTCCCCACACGCGCCTCCACAGCGGCCCCTGTCGGCCTCTCCTAAAGCAGGGTCCCTGCGTGAGGCCTCAAACTTTGTCCGTGAGGTCATTGCCACCATTGAGTAACCCCCTGGGAGGGCCGCAGCCTGACTGTCCTCTGTAGGCTCACTACCAGGACCCCTCGGACCCCGAGGCTGCCCAGTGACCACTCTTGCCCAGGTCTCTGAATCCACACAGCTGAGTCTCCTGCCTCCCAGGCCTGCCCTTTTCTGGAGCTCAGCCCCTGGGCATTGCCTCCTCTAACAAATCTCTCGCGGGCCCCTGTGGTCCTACCCCTCCTCTGGCATTTACTAGTGATGGTCACAGAAGCCCGGTGGGGTTCCCAGCCACACCACTTTTTAGCTCTGTGACTTGGGGCAAGTCAGTCCCCTTTCCATGCCTTACTTTTTTCACCTGTAAAATGGGTGTGAGCATAACAGGTAGTAATCCTGGGCTGGTGAGGGGAGGTAGGCCTTGCACCAGGATGCCTGGAACCCTTCTTCCCCTGGGGCACCGCTGATCACCAGCAATAATACCCTGCAGTCAGCAGCAGGTGCCACAGAGCTGCACCCAAGGGTGCGCCGAATGAGATGTTAGTACTGGGGTGTTGGATTTGAACTGGGGCTGCCCTGTTCCGGGACCTGGGGCTTTGGGTACAGCACCTTCCACTCTTACAGCAACTCCGGGAAAGGACCAGCTTTCCATGTTCTTATTTTCCACGTGGGAAAATAGGTCCCCGGTAGCAATGCTCTGCCTGCCCTTGGTCCCACAACCTCTCCATTGGCAGGGTCTCTCTATTGCAGTGGGCAAGGTGGAGGGATAGGGAGAGACTTTTTAGAGGTACCCAGAGGCATTTGGGAGGTGGGAGCATCACAGGATTGGGGCAGAAGCTGGTCTCGCAAGTCAAAGTGGCCATGGGGGTTCTGGGGGGGCCAGAGTCCCTTGTGCAGAGTAAAGAGTGGCTACTTCGAGGTGGGGGCTGGGAGAGAGGTGGGTGTAGCAACAAGGCAGACACAGTGACCCCTCGCATGATATTTCAGGGTAACCCCCCCAATTTCTCCCCCTCCCCCTCCTGCTCAGAAATTCCTCCCTAATCTCTGCTGAGCAAGGAAACCTGGCCCAAGCCATGCACCTGCCAGGTAACCTTGGCCAAGTCCCTTCCCTCTGAACCTTGGCTCTCGGTATAAAAATGGGCTAACCCCTCTTCTTTGCGGGGCTGCTGGAGTCAAATGACATCATGTAATGGTTGGCGGAGCGCTTCGTGACTTCAGCAAACATTCCACGAGGACTTCTTGTTGTGGGGGTGCCAAGGAAAGGGATGATTCAGACACCACCCCCCAGAGGGGGAGGAGTTAGGGTTGGGGGAGGATCAGATGGTGGGAAGGGAAGAGAATGTCATCAGAGAACAAAGCAAGCTTTGTTTTATTGCTTTCTTTGTTTTTATCTTGTTATTTAACCTATTTTGAATTTCAAATAACATTCAAAGGGCAGTACTGAGATTTTTATGCTTGGAGGTGGCAGCGAAATTTTATTTATTTTTTATTTTTTTATTTTTTTTTGGCAGCGAAATTAAAAAAAAAAAAGAGTTGAGGCACAGATCTAGGTGTTCTTGTTAGGGATTATTATCAACTTTTATCAGCTGAGGTCCCAGGCCAGTGCAGGTACTTGACTTGCTCAAGGTCACATGGTGAAGCTTTTTAATCCCCCACCCCCACCCCCACCTACCTGCCCTCACTTGAAAGCTAGCAAGGGGTGATCCTGTTGCAGGACGGTCATCACAAAGATGTCCTGCGATTGAACCCCTGTTGATTTGGCACTTGCCACGCACGTGGGGAGTCCAAGCTGGGTGCCAGGAGCAGGGGAAGACGGGACCATTCAGACGGCTGCCCCACCTTCACGGTGTGTGGCCAATCTGGGGAAACAAGACTGGACTCCAGGAGCCAGTTGAAGGCCACGTGAGTCAGAGGCTCTGAGTTCAAGTCTCGACTAGCTCTCCTGAGGTGACCTTGAGCAAACTTGGGCCCTCTCTGGGCCACAGGAGAACCGGAGGTCAGACCACAGAGTCACAAGTGTCGTCCAGACTGCGCTTTCTATGATACTAGAAGGGATGGGTCAGACAGAGAGAAGCTTAGAGGAGGTGGGGGCTGGGGAGGAGGCCGGCAGATCGGGAGGGGGGAGGGAGTGGGCGAGGAATAGCTTTTGGCACCAACTGAGCTTTTTCCGAAACCTCTTCCCTGACAACAAGGCTCCTCCATCAATTTGAAAAACTATAGTAAAGATCTCTCCCGCCGGCCTTCTCAGAGCCTTGAATATGCTCAGGCATGCAGTAGGCAGCTGGGAAAAGCCACTTCTGACCACAGGATCCTTTTTCCAGGAAACACCTTAAAGGCAGAGGGTTCTGAGGAACCTCTGTGCAGGCTGTTTACACAGCAGCTCACAAAGCCTGTGGCAGGGCGCCTCCTCCCTCCTGGCCTCTCTGAGTGGAGGACAATTTAACCCACAGAGAAGGGAGGCCATTTGCTCAACCTGGCAGCAGAAGAGACTGTAGCTTGGGGCTCTGGGTTTGGGGATCGGGGGTTTCTGCTTAGCCATTTTGACCGTGTAGCCGCAAACGAGTCACCTCAGGCCTCAGTTTCTCTAAAATAGTGTCTCTCCGTCAGGGCTGTCGCGTGGGTTACGTGAATGACAGAGGTAACTTAATCGGCACTTAGTAGGTGCTTCACGGACAGTCTCAGTATGAAGACCATAAAGCATGCTGCTTACTGATACACACCTCGAGTGTCCAGCTCGGTGGGTTATTCTGTGCCCACACCCAGCAGTCCCTGCTCCCGGGCAGCCACGATTCCGACTTTATCAGTGTTGTTTCCTTTGCCTGCTGCTAAACATCCGGTGCCCAGGATTATACAGCCTGTCCTCCTGTGCACCCGCTCAGCATCTTGGTGGTGGTCCCCACCTCTGTCTGGGGGTGGAATCACCTGTTCTCTTGAGCTGTGATTTGGATCCAGGATCCCCCGGGCCCACCATCATTTTCTTCCTTTCTTTCAGGTCCCTACCCCCGGGGCTGTCCACACTCAAGGCACATCTCCTACCCTCTCTGTTCTTGGACAGATCACCTACAGCGGCTGCCACAGGGAGCCAGGCCCCAGGGAGAGACCAGCCATGGGCCTTCCACAGCCTCAGCGTCTGGGGGTGACACCTTAGGAGCACCAAGGGGCAGCCCCTGCCCACTGCCCCTCCGTGGGGAAAGCCCCCGGGGACGCATGGACCAGCAGCCGTGAAGAGCCAGAGCCAATGCCAGGCCCCCAGGGGGCCGGAGGAGCCCCTGCCATGAGCCTGGGCAAGCTCTCGCCCGTGGGCTGGGTGTCCAGCTCGCACGGGAAGAGGCGGCTGACGGCAGATATGATCAGCCCCCCGCTCGGGGACTTCCGCCACACCATGCACGTGGGCCGTGGCGGGGATGTCTTCGGTGACACCTCCTTTCTCAGCAACCACGGTGGCAGCTCGGGGGGCACTCATCGCTCACCCCGCAGCTTCCTGGCCAAGAAGCTACAGCAGGTGCGGAGGGTAGGGGCGCCGCCCCGGCGGATGGCCTCCCCGCCGGCGCCCTCACCTGCTCCACCGGCCATCTCCCCGATCATCAAGAACGCCATCTCCCTGCCCCAGCTCAACCAGGCCGCCTACGACAGCCTCTTGGTGAGCAAGTTCACCTTTGACCGCAGCCCTGCCACTTCCACGGACGGCCGCTCCAATTACGGTGAGGGTCTGGGCCAGCTGCTCATTTTGTAGGGGCTGGGGTCCAGAGGGTTCAATCGTCAGCCTCGCTTCCAAGTGAGCTCTCTTCCCCACATTACTCTGGTCTTACCATGTAGGTCAGGCCCAAGCCCCAAACCGTGGATGGGGTGGGGGTCAAGGGGTACAAACCAGGTCACCCCAAAGCATGCTAAGGTTGAGAGGTGAGGAGACGGGTTTTGAGCTCTACCTGCCTCTAACTTGCCTCCCTGTGTCCGGGTCCCCTGGCTGAGCCGGCTCTTCCTCTCCCGTCCCCTTCAACGGAAGCAGCCCCCTAAGGTCAGAATGACAGGGTGGAGACGCTGGGAGTCTGGGCTCTGGATGAAAATCCTGATTCTTCCTGATTTCTAACAAGCCGACTGACCTCCTGAAGATCAAACGCTGGCCTGTACAATGGGTCCGTTAGGGTCATTGCTAAGACTCAGGGTTGTGATATGCATATGAGGTGTGGCCCAGAGTCGCACAGAGTAGGTGCTCAGGACAGAGGAGCTAGCTGTTGCTGCGTTATTATTTGAACAGAAGTTCCCGTGACCTGACAAATTCGGAAAAACCACTCACGTGGACAGAATCCAGAGGCCGTTCCTGCTGTGGTGGGAGTGACAGGTGCCACCTTGGCGCTGCTGGACAGCTCACCTGGGCACGGGGGCCCTGCTGCCACCTGGTGGCCATTCCCGCCCGTGGCTTTGCCCCACTGCCCCCGGCTTCCTCCGGAGCTCCGCCTCCCACCCTGCCGCTCAGATAGATCCCCCCCTGGGCTGCTCCACAGTAACCACTCGGGGCCTTGGCCATGGTTGTCCTGGAGCAGAGGGCGACCAGACATCCTTTGCGGGGCATCTGCCTGTCCTTTGTGATCTCTGTGCAGTCAGACCCTGGACCCTCCCCGCGCCCCCAAACCAGCCCACACACTGTGGGTTCATCTGCAACCCCCGGCCACTGTCATGGAAGGGGACCAGGGACCATGACCATCAGTTGGGACGGAGAGTCAGAAGGCTTGAGCTCCAGGCTTGGCTCCACCCCCTTCAGACTCTCTGACCCCGGGCCAGCCTTTCCCCTGAGTCACTTTCTTCATCTGCAAAATGGGAATGAGGACCATGTCCCACTTTCCACTTCTAGACTTGATAGGAAGATCCCATGAGAGACTCCAGGGTTTGCTATATTGGAAAGATGGGACAAACTGAAGGCCGATGTGCTAGAGGCCATATAACAAGCTAGGGTTGGTCCTGGCTCTCCCCTTCCCAATTCCTGGTCAGGGACCCCAGCTATGACCCTGTTCCCCATTTCTCTTCTAGGCCTGGACTCTGGGTTCTGCACTATCTCCCGCGTGCCTCGCCAGGAAAAGCCTCATGACCGAGACCATGATAGTACCTTCCCCTCTGAGCCCGAGCTTCGCCGCTCTGACTCCCTCCTGTCCTTCCGCCTGGACCTCGACCTTGGGCCATCTCTGCTCAGTGAGCTGCTGGGGGTCATGAGCCTTTCAGAAGCCTCTGCAGCTGACACCCCAGCCCCTGCCACAAGCCCCCCAGCCCATGCCCCGAGCTCCCCAGCTCCTGCCACAAGCCCCCCAGTCCCTGCTGCAAGAACCCCAGCGCTTACCTCAAGACCCCCAGCCCCTGCCTCAAGTCCCCAACCCCGTGGACACTGCCCCAATGGGGTAACTGCTGGGCTGTTGGCTGAGGTGAGGGCCAGCCCAGTGGAAGATTATCCCCGTGCACCTGCTGACGTGGCCCCTGGCAGGCACTGGGGAGCAGGCTGGGGGGACAGCCAGGGCAGCTCCTGGCGGGAGCTGCAGGGGGTGCTGCCCCAGGCTCGGGCTTCTTGGGACAGCCTGGATGAAGAGTGGGGGCAGGCAGGCAGCAGGGCCCCTGTGCCCAGCACAGTGCAAGCAAACACCTTTGAGTTTGCTGATGCTGAGGAGGATGATGAAGTCAAGGTGTGAGTGGCTGGCCAGGGGCTCAGGACCCTGCTGAGCTCAGGGCACCACCTAGGAACAGCCCAGGTGCAGAGTCAGCACCTGATATGTAGGTCCTACCCATAATAGATGGGAGAACCCAGTTGCCCCCCAAGCCCCTCCATGCCTCTGCAGGACAGATGGGAAGGAGGCCAGAGGAGAGACCAGACCTGTTCTGGGACCTGGGTGTTCCCATGGGCCCTGCTGGATTGTCTTGCCTAGCCCCCTACTCGCCCCCCCCATACCCCACCACTCTGGACCCAGGACCATTCTTTAAGCCCCCTCCCAACCCTGTGCCACTGCCACTGGTTAGAGGGCCCAGCCTTACAGTACAGCCTTTGTGCCGGAAAAAAACTGTCCTGGGGAGGGGGGTGCATACCACACAGGGCCTTTGTCTCCTCTCCTGAAGGGACCGCCTGCCCCAGCTCATCCTAGAGCTGCCCCCAGGAAGGTCCCTGCTACATCCCCAAGAGCCCTAGTCCCTGCCAAGGCTGCTTCCCCGATATTTCAACCCTGAGCCCTGACTTATCCCAGAAGTCTCAGAGAAAAGTCAGGTTTGACCTCACAAGGGGAGGAGTCTCACCATCCTGTGCTCCCCAGACCTGCTTCTGGGTCCCAATTAAAAAAAGCTTTTTGATAAAAGGTGTCCTGCAAGATGCTTGGTGACCTGGGAGATCACGGTTAGCTCCACCTGCTTCAACAGCCTCACACGCATGGGAAAAACCAAAGAATCACACCATGCCCCCAACCTGTGCCCCTCTCCCCACTGAGGGGAGAGGCCCAGGCAGGGGGTAATGAATAACCAGGCTGGAATGAATGTTCCAGCGATAAGAGGCCCAGGTGGGAGCCTTATCTCCAGTTCCTGGAACAGCCCCTGGCCCAGGTGCCTGGAAGTAGTGCCTGCCCCGTAATCCCATAGGGCAGTTTGGCGCTTGCCGTGGTGATAATCGGGGACAATGAGGCAGCAACGGTGCTTAGAGGTGTCGGGGAGCATGTCCAAACTGCCACCTCGCAGTCCTATGACCTTGTGCCTCAGTTTCCTTCTCTGTGCCATGAGGATGCTGGGAGTGTTACAATGTGTGGAAAACAGACTGAAAAAAAAAAAAGAAAGAAAACAGAAAGACTGGCCAAAGGCGGGTTCTTTTGTTTATTCTTAGTCTTAGGGGAGGAGAGTAGGGTTCCAGGGGCAGGGCTGCTGGTAGGGAAACAGAAGCCAGTGGCTGCTCATCCTGTGTGACGGGGTAAAAGCTCAGGACAGGGAATCTGCACCAGGGAGGGGGTCTTTCACCCCCCCTGAGCTGCTACCTGCTTATTCTATCTTGAAGGAGGAGACCTTCAGCCCGCCCTGCACTCCCAGGTAGCTCAGGTGGCTGTGGCCCAGCCTGTTGGGAAAGGTCAACTGGTGCCCATCTGGCAGCTTCACCTTGAATCCGTCATTCTCAAAGGTCACGGTGAACTGTGGTAGGAGGGAGGGCGACAGGGAGGCAGGAGGCCCCAGACATGAGCCCAGGCAGCTCCCGGGGTCTCCATCAGGGCCAGTGCACATCAAGGCCAGGGTGCCCTACCAACTGGGCTCTCTCCCTTTTGACATCCTCCTCAGGCACCTTTCCCCTTTGACCTCACCTTGACCTCTGACCCTGGGCTGAAGCACATGTGCTTATCCCGTTGCTCCTGCCCCCAGTTGCCATCCCGTGAGTTGCAGACGATGACGGATTCGTGGAAGCGTGGATTGAAATGCAGGTTCACTTTATCTGACCCCTGGCCCAGATTAATCACAAACCTGCAGGGCAAAGGGGTAACGAGTAAGGAGTGGGGGCCGTTGCTGGGTAGAACTGCTTGGGTGGCAGGGTCTTGGTTGACCACAAGCTGAAAGAATCACAAAAGAAAGGTGTTAACTGAGGCCTGTGCCTGAAAAGGGAGGTGACAGCCTGGTCAGGCTTTGCAGGGGAGTACCACATTCTATTTGTCACCTGGCCTAAAGCTCTCAACAGGAGGGTAACTGATAGGGACAATCTCAGGGATCAGGGGTACCTATCCTGGGGGAGAGAACTGCTGTCCTTAGGTATCTACTGAGTTGGGTCATATTAGGTGGTGAGCTCCCTGTCACTACAGGTATTCAATCAGGGGTTGTGTGACTTCTTGACAGGATGAGTACAGCCTGAGACCGTGAAGGTCCCTGAGAGTAGGACATTCTGAGTCATGAATGGGGCGCCTTCCGTGGGAGGGCTCAGACCAGCAGTGTCATAAATGTCCTTAAACTTGAGGAACCCAAGTAGGAGAAAGGGGTGGGTGGCTTTGTTCTTGGCTCCTACCCCCTCCCTACATCAGTCTGCCCCTCCTCAACCCAAAGTTAATGGATATCAGTCCCCAAAAATTCTACAACAGCTGAGCACACAGGGGAGGCTGGTGCTGGGCTGTGTGTAACACGGAGGGTGAGCAGAGGGTGAGCCCTGTCCCTTCTAGCAGAGGGGATCTGAATGAGGCCACTTGGCGCCCCTTGGTGGCTGTCTCTGGTGTAATGTGTGTGAAAGGCTGGCCTCACCCCAGTCAGCTGGGTAATGGTGGGGGGGGGGGGCTTTCAGTAGAGACGCCTGACCCACAGAGAGCTGGGCCAAGTTCCAGGGGCTTCCCCAACTGCCCCTTCAGTGTCTTTGGGGGCCACAGAGTTGAGCATATAGCATGAGCTGGGAAATTTTGAGGGTCCCCAAACAGCTTCAGACAAGAAGGCAGGCCCCTAGCAGGAGGAGAGCCAGTGGGGGCGTGGGTGAGTGTGAGACACAGCAAAGATATAAAAAAAGGCCCCTTTGGCCTGAGGTCGCTCTCCTCTGTGACCATCTCACAGGGCAGCCCTGCCTGCCCCCACCTTCCGAGCCTGTTCCAGGCCTGTGGACGGCTTCCCTCTCCCATCTCCCCTTGCTCACCCATCAGCATCACCAGCAATCTTGCCCTTAATCTTCAGGGTTGCCCCCAACTTCATGTCCATGTTCGTAACCTCAAATTTCCCCTGTGCCAACAGAGAAACATTCCATGAGACGTTCATCGCACCCATGCCCAGAGCCCTTCTGCCGGTGGCACCCGTTCACAAGCACCATCTCCCAGGGCTGCAGGTCACACTCACCCTCTGCACACTCGAGGGCACTGAGCTGGGAGGAGATCCCCCATCATTAATATAAGAGATTTGGACGGGGTGGTCAATGGAGAAGGGGAAAGTGGGTCGGGAAAGTCTCTGGGTTGCAGAGCTCCCCCTGAGAGGCAGAGGGTGGCGACAGCATCGTCCCTGCCACAGGTGACCCTGCCAGGGGCACTCCCATCCTGCGTATTGTCTGTACCAGCTTGAATGGTGTCTCCCAAAAAGTCACATCCACCCAACACCTGTGGACGTGCCCTATCTGGAGATAGGGTCTTTGCAAATGTAATCAAGTTAAGATTTGTTTAGGGCGGGCCCTAAATCCAATATGACTGGCGTCCTTATAAGAAAAGGGAAAAGTGGACCCAGAAACACAGATACACAGAGGAGAAGGCGCCTGTGAGGACAGAGGCAGAGAGGAGAGCTGGGCAGCTATAGCCAAGCACTGCCACAGACTGCCCACGACCACCAGAAGCTGGAAGAGCCAACAAAGGATCCGCCACTGGAACCTTCTAAGGAAGCATGGCCTACTGACGCTCATGTTCAGACCTCTAGCCTCCTAAACTGTGAGAGAATGAGTGTGTTACAGCAGCCACGGGAAACTAAGACACCTTAATCCTCAGATGCCATCTGTGATCCAGTTCCACAAAATGCAGGAGACTGAGGCCCAGAGACGGGGAGTGACTTGTCGGAAGCCACACAGCCAGTCATGAGAGAGCCAGGTTTTAAGTCAGAGAATCAGGGATCACAAAGAGGATCCACTCAAACTCCTGCAGTTTACAGATTGTGACCTTGGGCAACTTCCTCCCCCAGCCTCAGTGTCTTCATCTTTATGAAGCTCAGGAGAGGGGCACCTGGGTGGCTCAGTTGGTTAAGTGTCTGCCTTTGGCTTCGGCCATGATCCCAGGGTCCTGGGATGAAGCCCCATCAGGCTCCCTACTCAGTGGGGAATCTGCTTCTCCCTCTGTCTCTCCTGCTTGTGCACACACATGCACTCGCTCACTCAAATAAATAAAATCTGTAAAAAAAAAAAAAAAAAAAAAAAGCTCACTAGGTGTTGACGATTATTATTACTCCTATTATTACTATTACAAACAAGGAACTGAGTCCAGAGAGGGGAAGCGATAGGTTCGGGCCCCCGCAGCAGGGTGGTGGGAGAGAGAGAGAGAGGGAGAAGAGAACATCTATGCCAGATGGAGGGGGAGGCGGTCTGTCCAACTTGGTCGCTATATATATAGGGAAACTGAGGCCCAGAGAAGAGCGGTGACACTTTTCTCCAGCGCCTCCCCCCACCCCTGCCAAGCCACCTACTCAGGCAAAGATGTGGGGAATGGGGAGGTGGCCAGTAGGGAGGCCAGCGTCCTCACCGACATGGTGGCAGCTCCTAACCACAGCTCTCCGAGGCTCCTGGAGGTCTGGGCTCAGGATCGCAGGTCACAGCCCAGTTTATCTTCTAGAATATTACACATTAACTCCTCCAGGCCATAAATGGGGACTTTGGTCCCTTCTGCCAGGATGTCTCTCCACTGGCATCTCCCAGGACCCAGAATGAACAGATAGGAGGCTCCACACTAGGGGCGCACCCAGCCCCACCCAGAGCATCCTCCCGACTTCCCTGTACCCAGCCTCCTGCTTCTAGCTCCCCTGCACCCCACCCCCTGCCCAGCCCAGTCTGGCCGGGGATGAGGCCAGATGGGTGTCAGCACGAACACCCTGTGAGCTTGGCAAGCCGCCCTGGTCCTGAGCCCCGCTTCCTCATCTGCAAACAGAGAGACTTGCCCTGTAAAAAAAAAAAAAAAAAAAACCTTGAAGCTTCTCATTTTCTGTGATGTCAAGATTCATTCTGAGAGCCCTTTTGTCTTGCTTTTCCCCTCGTGCCATGACTTTTCTGATCCTACGGGTAAGTTTAAAAGCAATATGTGGTGGATTCAGGGAAAACATCTAGAAGAATCTATAACAAACTGTTAAAATCACGGAAGGAAGTAGTAGGATTGAGGTGAAGGCAGACTGGGGATTGATTGATTGATTGATTTTTAATTTTTTTTCCAGACTGGGGATTTAAATGCTTCGCTCCTCTTTCGTAACTGACAGGCTCACGCAGGCAGTTCGAAATCCTCAGTAAGAAAAAAGTAAGAAAAGGGGGCACCTGGGTGGCTCAGTGGTAGAGCAGCTGCCTTTGGCTCAGGGCATGATCCTGGAGTCCTGGGATCGAGTTCCTCATCGGGCTCCTCACAGGGAGCCTGCTTCTCCCTCTGTCCGTGTCTCTGCCTCTCTCTGTGTGTCTCTCATCAATAAATAAATAATTTTTTTTGAAAAAATATAAAAATAAAATAAATAAAAATTTTTGAATAGGGCATCGCTGTGCTGGGTGGCTCAGTGGTTTGGCGCCTGCCTTTGGCCCAGGGCACGATCCTGGAGACCCGGGATCAAATCCCACATCAGGCTCCTGGTGCATGGAGCCTGCTTCTCCCTCTGCCTATGTCTCTGCCTCTCTCTCTGTCTCTGTGACTATCATAAATAAATAAAAAAATTTTTAAAAATTAAAAATTTTTGAATAGGAAAAAAGTGCGGCAGTCCAGGTGGCTCAGCCATTTAACGCCGCCTTCAGCCCAGGGCCCAATCCTAGAGACGTGGGATCAAGTCCCACATCGGGCTCCCTGCATGGAGCCTGCTTCTCCCTCTGCTTGTGTCTCTGCCTCTCTCTCTCTCTCTCTCTCTCTCTCCTCTCTCTTCTCTCTCTTTCTCTGTGTGTGTCTCTCATGAATAAATAAATAAAATCTTTGGGGAAAAAAAAAGGAAAAAAAAGTAAGAAACGAAGCAAGAGCTCTTAACCCTACCACCAGAAGGGAACATGCTTACTCTCCTGGCCCGTTTCTCTCCTCAGGGTTTTCTGTGGATTTGTATCATAGACAGCCCTCTGTCTATGCAGGTGTCTGTCCTGCTTCATTCAGTAACCATCAAAGCCCACAAATCTATATTTCACAGCTATATTTTAACGGCAGTGAAATATTCCCCCTTTCAATGACTAAATTTATTTGACCAATTTCCTTCTCCTGAAGACTTACATTAATTCTAAATGTTTGCTATTAAAAGCGCTGTGGCATTAAATCTCTTTGTATATAAAGCTTGACCACATCCTGACAACTTACTGAGGGTGGATTCCCAGAAGGGGGATTGTTCTGCAGCCCTGGTTTGGTGAGCCAGAGTGATTTCCATCAGAGCTGGCAGTGGCCGGTCTGGAAGGGGTGCCAGGAGGCTGGCCCTGCGAGAACCCTTCGGGGCCAGGAGCTGACAGGTGGCTTGCTGCCCAGTGCTTACAGAGGACACCACCTCCCGTCCCCTGCCCGCCCCGAGACGAGAGTGATTTCCTCATTTTAAGCCACAAGGAAATCCGTCCCTTCTCGGCCTTTCTCCCACGGCACTGGTAAAGCCCAAGCAAGATAAGGAGTTTTCGAGTGCTTTATAAACAGAAACCCCCTAATCAACAGAAACTACACCTTGTAAAGGTGGCATTTTTCTGATTATAGCAGTAATTCTAGCTCACTGTAGAAGGTTTCGGAAAGTGCACCAAGTCGAAAGAACTTACAAGTTCACTTGTTTCTGAAAAATGTTTCAAGCTGGGAGCCCAAGACCACATTCTGAACTGGACAGTCTTCCGTGTGTATGTATTACATCAATGAGAGATTTTTTAAAAGAAAAAAAGAAGGGAAGGAAGGGGGAAAGGAAAGGAGGAAGGGAGGAAAGAAAAAAAATAAAATCACCAACACTTGCATCGCCAGCCCTGTTCTCTTAATATGCCTGCCTCCTGGGGCACCTGGGTGGCTCAGTGGTGGAGCAGCTGCCTTTGGCTCAGGTCATGATTCCGGGGTCCTGGGATAGAGCCTCGTCTCGTGCTCTCTGCTCAGCAGGAGTCTGTTCCTCCTTCTCTCTCTATGCTCTCACTCTCACTCTTTCTCAAGTTAATTGATTAATTGATGAAAGCCTGCCTTCTGAAGGGTACTTTACACTTTACAAAGCACTTTATCCAGCCCTCATCACAATAAACTCAACAAATTTTCGAGCTGATCTTTATTATGATCCCATTTTTCAGATGGAGAAGGAAGAGTCCCATATAACAAGTAAGTAGCAGGGCTTGCCTTGTCTACCAACCCATCGCTTGCTGCCCTCACTAGCGAAGGGAATAATAGTTGCCCTCCAGAAGGATGTCCTTTGTGTGACACAGAGCCTCAGTCACGATGCCCACTGATCCCTACCTCTTGGTGTTCACATCCTTGTATATTAATTCCCCTTAAGTGTGGCGTCCCCAGAGACTCAAGCCTGACCAATAGAATACTGGAATAGGGCAAAAGTGATGGAGGGTCATTTCCAAAATTAGGTTATGAGAAGACTGGTTACAAAAAGAAACACTAAATGGGGCACCTGGGTGACTCAGCATCAGGGCGTCTGCCTTTGGCTCTGGGTGTGATCCTGGGGTCCAGGATCAAGTCCCACATTGGGCTCCCCTCCCCATAGGGAGCCTGCTTCTCCTCCCTCTGCCTATGTCTCTGCCTCTCTGTGTGTCTCAAATAAATAAATAAATAAATAAATAAATAAATAAATAAATATTTTTAAAAGAAACATTTAAAAAGACAATCCCCTCACCTTCTCCCTCTCCTTCACTCTCTTTCTCTCTCTCTCTCTGTGCCCTAGCTCTGGGGGAAGCAAACAAGCCATGTTGTGAACAGCCTTCCAGACAAGGCCCGTGTACCAAAGAAACGATGTCTCCAGCCAACTGCCAGTGGAGACCTGAAGCTTGCCAACAGACTGATGAGTGAGCCTGGCAGTGGCTCTCCCCCAAATTAAGGATGGCTGAGGTCGCCAACATCTTGACCACAGCCTTGATAGAGACCCAGCAAAGTCCTATCTGGATTCCTGACCACAGAAGCTGTGAGAAACCTCTTTCTGGTTTATGATGTCTCTATGCTGAGGTGAATTTGTTACACAGCAAGGAATGACTAGTACACTTGGCCAAGCGATTACTACCAAAAGCTTAGTGGGAGATATAATATCTCTGAAGGCCTCCAAACAAAAGAATCTGCAGTCTGGGCATGTCCCTAGCCATTCCATCATACTGGTCTTTTTAAAGACCCAGCTCTTGGTTTTGTGTCCTTATTTCCTTCCTTTATGCCCAATTAGCTCTTTTCTTGGTGTTTCTTTTCTTTTCTGGCTCTTTTTCTAGCTTCTCAAGTTGAATGTTTAGTTCATTCATCGTTCATCTCGTCTTTTTACTAATAAATGCATTCAAGGCTATAAATTTTCCTCAATTCCCTCTTCGGTGACATCTCATAGACGTGCTCCTTTTCCAAATGTTACCTTGAACTGAAGCCAGATGATCAGAAAGTTGTCCTCAGCACTCAGGACACACTTAATAACTACTTGGGAAATAATCTACTATAGAGTAAAATCACCATCATTACTGGGGATAGGGCAGAAAGTAAATTATCACTAATACAGAGTTGGCTACATTCATGAGGCTACACAAATAGAAATGAACTATGATAAAGCCATGAAAGGTCACATCGGGGCAGGGGGCACCCTCTGTGCCCTTGGTACCTTGCTCATGGCACAGCGTTAAGTTCCCAGGGCTCTGTGATCAGCCTTACAGAGCTGCTTTCACTGAATTGTACATAAGGCCACCAGGTTGTACTAAGAGGCAACAGCAAGGAACAGTCACAACAAAGCTGCTAGTGTATACCTCTGGGGTGCCAAGAAGGACATGGCCGAGCTGGCCACACAGGGTCTCTGTATTGTAAGATGGGGGATTGAGGGTCTCCATAGAAGAAAAGAATAAAATACAGCCAGACCTTCAAGAGACCAAGCTTAAGTAGGGATATAAGCTTGAACACTGGAAATAACCAAAAAACGATTAATTACTATCACCACCATCCCCAGGGGAAGGTTCCAGAAAGTTCCAGATTCCCGGAACTTCTACAGGGTAGAAGGGGTCCTCAGATGTCCTTTGGAGGGCAATATGGAACGGGAAGCTTGGTTCTACCACTTGCCAGCTATGTGACCTTCGGGCCAGTTACTTAACCTTTCAATCGATCTCTTCCTCTGTAAAATGAGAACATAAGTGTCCTAAGGATTAAGGGAGATAAGACCTAGCCACTTTGTTAATAGTTAACAGATACTATTTGTTATTATGAGCAAAAGCCCAGTGGCCCACCTGTGTTGGCTGTAAAGAAGGTAACTACCCCCCTCCTGGCAGCTGCTGTATGAACCCTCAGGCCTCTAGGAATGTTCTTCTGGCAACTTCCCAGAGCCCCGTTATGACTCTCGTGAGTCCAAGGTACATCAGCCTTCTTGGGCCACTTCCTACATTAACTACAACATGCACACACACATATTTTCATATACACATACATAACACACACATATATCACTATATTTTACTACTGC